ATAGCCGCCTTTTACAAACTAAAGTAATACTTAATTGTTATGTTAAATCATGTCTTCTTCTGTGCCCCTGATCCAGAACAATTCAAGTATATCATTTGTATAAAAGAGCAAACATAGAGGTTGAAAAGACTTCTAAATGAGTATACACCAAAACTGTTGAGCACAGCAGCATTACTGGGCAATCATGGTATTTGTAATTTTTTTTCCTGTCTCGGTTAATTGGGTTCAGTTGTGCTATTTACCTTAATCCCTTGTAAGACTCCATGAATGATTTCTGTACAGTACCCCACTCCTTCCCCATGTGATTCTTATGGGGAAATTCAATAAAAGAGAGCAAAAAAAGGGGCAGACACACAAATTCACACATAGGGACAGAGAGACATAGGGACAGACACAGACTCAGACACACACACACACACAAAACCAGACAAAGGGACAGGCACACTTCTTCAGAAAGGCGCAGATCTGGAGGGAAGACAGGGAACATGGAGAAAATTCAAACCTGGAAATGACTCCCAGTGGAAGTGCTTTTATTTCCTTACTGCCATGCTGATGCAGTATTGGTGACTCTGAGTTAATCACTGATGTGGTGAATCCACACAATAGGCCCTCTGTTGTTGTTTTGTTAAAATTACATGGCATCAAGCTGCCTTCTATGTAGTCTCTCTGACACCTATACATTTGAGCAACTGTGATCCCTAATGAGAGAGGCTTCTTTAGGAAGTGGGCTCTGCTGACTGCACAGACTCACACCTGGCCAAAGTTTAGAGAATACATAACTGTGCAGTTCTCAGACCTCAGCAGGACATCTGAACCACAACACGCTGCAAGGCTCAGGGATCACTTTGGAAGAGAGAGGCAAAGGTTGAAGATTGTTTCTGTGAAATGGTGTCCAGGACACAATGATAATCATACACAGGAAGGGGCTCATAAGGCCCCACCCTCAGTGAGGGACTTTGCTCACTTAACATGTGCTGGTGATGGAATGTCATAAAAAGTAAAGAGGGAATGCAGGTAAGCAGCCACAGTTTAACTCTATGGATGTTAAGGCCAATAGAGTAGTTCAGGTGGTGTTTTTACTCATGTGAGAGCAGTGTGAGAATGGAAACCTCAACATGACTGGTTTGTGCCTTGGAAAATCCACTAAAATTCATTGAACTCCAGTTTCCAAAACTGCAATTGCAGGCCCAGATACCCAGAAATGGGCTCAATTTGGACTTCTGGAGGATTTCTGGAGCGTAGATAAATCCAACATTCCTTAAAAACTTGTGAAGCTACTTCCTCTTCTCAAAGGGGTTATTTCTCTTATCACTGGCAGTAGGAAAAGTTGACTATCTGTGGTCATTATCTATTACTATAACAAGGTACAGACTAGCCTCCAGGTCCTTCAGTAGCACCAGTACCCACTGGACATGTCAGAGTCCATGCTCGTGTTCTAGGTCTTCTACCCTGCTCCCTACCCTAAACTCCCTCTAGTTCAGAAGCATCCCTCTCCCAGCTTCTCATTCTCTTTCTAAACCTATCTCTCTGTCTCCCCCTGTCTCTATGTTCCTCTCCCTCTCTCTGTGTCTCCTCTTCTGTCTCTCTCCATCTGCCTCTCTGCTCTGCTTCTGCTTCTATCATAGGCAGGTGCAGTTGACTATGTTCAGCCAACATCTATTTCTGCTCTGGGTGATTTGATATGCCGCTGTCTGTTCTATCTCTGATAACTATAATAGAAGCTTTCTCCTTAAACATGTCACCAAGAGGTCATGCCATCAGCTTGTACAATACAAGGAAAGAGTTTAAAATATTTTCATAGTACATTTTAAGGAAAAGCTACTAAAAACTTATATACAAAATTCAATATATACTCTATCAATTTTCAGAGAAATATTTAACATTAAAATTTCTAATTTTTTTCTGAGAGTAAGTACGAATTTTATTTTATTAATTATTATTATTATTATTATTAAAAATTTTCACCTCCTCCCCTCCTATTTCCCTCCCTCTGCCCTCATTCCCCCTCCCCCTCCCTCTCCAGTCCAAAGAGCAGTCAGGATTCTCTGTCCTGTGGGAAGTCCAAGGTCCTCCCTCCTCCATCCAGGTCTAGGAAGGTGAACATCCAAACAGACTAGGCTCCCACAAAGCTAGTACATGCAGTAGAATCAAAGCCCAGTGCCATTGTCCTTGGCTTCTCAGTCAATCCTCCTTGTCAGCCATGTTCAGAGAGTCCGGTTTGATCACATGCTCCATCAGTCCCAGTCCTGCTGGCCTTGGTGAGCTCCCATTAGATCAGCCCCACTGTCACAGTGCGTGGGCGTACCCCTCGTGGCCCTGACTTCCTTGCTCATGTTCTCTCTCCTCAGTGGTAAAAAACAATGACATCTTGAATTTTCCATCCAAATGAATGGAAATAGAACACACTATCTTAAGTGAGGTAACCCAGACCCAAAAAGATGAATATGTTATGTACTCACTCATTAGTGGATTCTAGCCATAAACAAAAGACATTGAGCCTATACTTCATGATCCTAGAGAAGCTAAATAGGAAGGTGAACCCAAAGAAAAACATGTAGTTATCCTCCTGGATATTGGAAGTAGACAAGATAGCCAGGCAAAAATTGAGAGCTTGGGGGTGGGGGTGAGGTGGGGGTAAGGGGAGAGGGAGAGAGAGAAGTGAGAAGGGAAGGATGGGGAGAACTTGGGGGGATGGGACGGTTGGGATGGAGGAAGAGTGGATATGGGAGCAGGGAAGTATATATCTTAATTAAGGAGCCATTTTAGGGTTGGCAAGAGACTGGACTCTAGAGAAGTTCCTAGGTATCCAAGGAGATGTCCCCAGCTTGTTCCTTGAGCAGCTGAGGAGAGGGCGCCTGAACTGGCCCTATCCTATAGCCACACTGATGAATATCTTGCATATCACCATAGAACCTTCATCTGGCAGTGGATGGAGATAGAGACAGAGACCCACATTAGAGCACTGGACTGAGCTCCCAAGGTATAAATGAGGAAAATTTCTAAATTTTATAAAATATTTCTGACAGATTGTCACTTGAAAGCCAATGTAATAACATCATAAAAACATCATTTTTAAAGGTGTCTAATATCTTTAATTTTTTCAAAATACCGTACAACAGGTTAATAGGTTTTTTAGACTACTACAAAAGGAGGTGAATTAAGAAGGAACTAGATTACTATATGCTACCAGAAATACATTATAATTTATTTTATGATATATTTTGATAGTATTCTTTCTTCCCCTGAAGTATATTCCACATGCTTCCTTAAAAACACAGTTTTAAAATCATGCATTCTGAATACAATTGAGCTCATTTAAAGGACCAGGTATTTTAATTGTACATATATACATACATAAACCCCACACACATATGCCATGTTGATTTTTATATTCTAACCCTAGCTGAGCCTCTTAGCATCATCAATTCTCAGTGGAATTTTTCATTCCTGAATGTTGAACAATAGGGTGCCAAGGAACCCATACATATCTATATTTGTATTCATAAAGATGTGGCAAACTCGGCATCTAATATTTGTTATCTTTTGTTACAAATGAACATCTCCACTCAATTTCTGGAAATCTCATGAAATTCATTCTATGCAGAAATTGATTTCAATATTTTATCGGATGGCAGAATGATTAATTTATTGACCTCATGGAAATACTTTTGACCCTTTGCTACTTTCAACTCTCCATTACAGTTCCTTAACCTCCTTAGAATTCCACACAACTAGGAGGCTTCTGATCAAGGATTAAGAGAGAAAGTCCAAGTAGCAAAGTGTTTTTGTTTATCTTTCAGAATTTATCAGTATGTTCCACTAGATAAAGTCAAATTCCTATTGAATTGTGTATCCCCTTGAGTTGTGTTCTCTCTCTGGGGATGCATGTACAGTACATGTTTAAAAAGGTGAATGAAAGTTTAGCAAGCTTTACATGTACTGAAAGCATAATAAGGTCTATAGAATTAGATAAGATTTAATGTTTTAATGTCTGGCCAGTAATTCAAGGAACAAAACACTATATGTAATTTATCTGCAAAAGTGGTGAAAGATGGATGTTATGTCTCCCTCCCTTTTTTAATAACTCACTTAGTCCAACTGATAATGTCCACATGCACTTGGCTGTGGGGGATCCTACTGGAAGTCTTACTCCTTAAGATAAATGACACAAAAATGGGATGAGGACAAGTTAGGGGATGGGATGGAGGCAGAGGACAGGGATGGGGAAGATATGAGCAACATGGATGATCTGAATTACATACATTAAAATGTCAAAGAGTAAACTGAAAATATTCTTCAAACAATAAAATGAAAAAAAACCTCAAAAAATATTTCTGACACTTGATGACAGGAGCTCCTCATAGGTTGTTCAGCAGAAACTAAAAAGAAAAGCAAGAATTATCAGTAGTATCAAGAACATCATTGGCAGCATCGTCAAGATAAGCAGTAACAGAGGCATCACCCGTAGAATCCTATGTAGTGTCATGTCACAATGAGTATCATTGTATTTGAGAATGGTGAGAATGTGGAGTCTTGTTTCATTGGTTTTATTCTCAGAGGTTGTTTCTTTTGGGGTGTTTGTTCCAAAATAATGCTGTCCACATAAGTCACAGTGAATGGACACAGAAAAATAAAAACTAATATCTAACAGTTACATTTCCCTGCTTAGCCATTCAGAAAATACAAGTTTCACATTAAGAGTGAAAATCATTTCCTCATTCCAGCATGGGAGGCAACTGTGTGCTTACCAACTTTACTTGATCAGTTTGGTTGGACTAAATTGATTTTGTTAATTTTATGTGATGCATTTTCAATATGACTAGAAAAGATAATCATTTTTTCTAGTTATAGGTAATATCTAAAGAGTCCTATACAAAGTATGAAATTTATTTATCATCATGCATATTAGAGCCAAAGAGAATTGGATTTCCCGCACAGAAATATTTATCTATTTTAAGCCATTGGTGTGGTCTAACTTACCTTGTTAAGCTCCTTTAACTTTAACTGTGCAGGATTTCTAAATTAGGTTCCATATCCACGGCATCGTCAAAGCCACCAACTGCAGCAACCACATTGACGATGTTAGGAGGAGCAAGGATGTGGTTGCTGCCCAAAGTGGAAAAACCATGACGGGAGTATTCGCTGCATAGCTGGTGCCGTGAGCAGGACTTGAAGCAAGAACCCGCATATGAGCATTCTGAGGGTCCAACGTGTCACCTGGGATACAAACAAGAGCAGATTTCTGGTCAGTAGTGAAGCTAAGACACTGTGTTCTCTTCTAAGCAAGTATCAAGAACAGGGTCAGAATGTTGCACAGGGTCCATGGTGTCACCAGTGTGGCTACCAGGAGCAAGCTCAGGGACAGCATGTGTTCTCCCCCTTGCATGCCCAGTATAAGTACCTAGAGAAGGTGTGTGATCCACGCTGGTGTTGTTAACAGTAGTCTCCTCAGAAGACTGAAGATTGTCACCTCTTTCACTAACGGTGGTGGTGTTAACAGTAGTTTCCTCAGATGACTGACGATTGTCACCTGTTTCACTAACATGAGAAGTTGATGTGGCATCGGCATGGGCAGGAGGCTGGGGCATAATAGGTGGAGGAAGGAAACCTTCTCCCTTCTTTGTTTCAACCTTTAAGGAAATTTTGAGATGTTAGATTTCATTGAAAATTTCACTTATTTTTTGTTCATTTTAGAACTTATCTGTTAATGTCAGGGTCTTGATTTAGAGTCCCCAAATGTTTGTTTTCTCAGGCTAATTTTATCACTATAACCACTGATATCCTGAAACTTTTGCTTCCATTGGTTTAGTCAAAGGCCCAGAGTTTGAGAATCTTAAAAGGGGATTCAGCTTTATGCCTTCTTTTCTACTGTTCTTTGCTACCTCTCTATAATGGAAAGATGGGGGAAAAAGACACAACGTGTCCTCTCCTGTCTTTATGACAAGGATTTTACATTCCATCCAGATTAAGAGAATGTGACAATCGGGGGCTTTGGAAACAAAAAGAACCTCGCTCTTCTGCACCACACTACTGCTTTCCCCATGGCTTTCACAATTGCCCATTAGGTTCCCGGGATAACAGAATAGTGAGGGTGACTTTTGAAATGCATGAATAAAGTGTGCCACTTCCCACAGCACATGGAAACTATGGGGCTGAAGGAAGGGTTCTGGGAGATGCCATCCAAACTCTTACTCCTTAGCTATGACTGTTTTTATATACGGCTGATGAATGCGATGGCCTGTTCCAGCATCTCTGTGCTGGCTTGAATGAGAACAGACTCATGGGCTCGTATATTTGAATGTTGGTTTCCAGGTAGTGGAACTATTTGGGGGGAAGGATAGGTGGTGTGGCCTTGTTGGAGGAGTTGTGTGGTCTTGGGTTTCAGAAGACTGGTGCCATTTCTAGTGAGCTCTTGGTTCCTTGTATAGATTTAAATGTAACTCTCAGCTGCTGCTAAAGCACCATGCCTGCCGGCCTGAATCATGATGGTGATAAAATTGTATGTATCCCATTGGAACCATGTGCCACACTCTGTATAAACCCTTCCTTCTAGATGTTGCTTGGGGCATGGTGTTTTATTACAGCAATAGAAAATAATCTAACCATCATCCAATGACATGGACAGAGCCTGAAGGATGCATTTGAAGGGATGAAGGGGTATTTCGCAGTGGATTATGCCAAAAGAGTTGAGACAATTCCATAATGTTTTCTTAGATCGGTTACAAAGAACACCACCTTATTTAATCAGATACATTTTGGAAGTGCCAGTTTTGAAAATGCATTTGATGCTGTTTGTCAGAAGGGGAGCCTCCCCAACTTTTATTCCAATTACCAATAATGATGCTAGCCCTTAATCATTCATGACATCTCAGGGAGACTCCTAACTTAGCAGTCTATGTTTACCTTTCTGTACCAGGTTGGAGGAGGATTTGTGCTACTTCTGTGAAAACTCAAACGTTCCAGAGCTTACCCAACATGATCAAACAATGTAACGTGGAGATGGTAAACTAAATAGCTTGAGAAGCATTGTTTGTAAAGGAAAACAGATGAGGAAGTACACATACTACATGTGTGTCCAAACTGCTCAAGGGCATCATGTGAAAATGTTCAGTTCATTGGTTTCCTTGAGAATGATGAGCATGAACACATCAAAGTTCGAGATTTGAAAGCCTTAGACACATTTTCACACGCCATATGTTTCACTCATTGCTTCATCATTAACTAAATATGCTTAAGCCAGTTATATAAAGGAAATGAAAGGGCCACATGGTACAAGTATGGTTTTCCAGGACACATGTCACATGGAAATTAGAAACACTGAAGATGACTGAGAGACCCTGAAAATATTTTCCTTATATGTTAGTTACACAACAGGAATGCCAATGAATATATAGACACCATTTATTATCTGAATAATCAATATTGTATCATCCTGAAAAATACTGTTGGAGTGTGTGTTTGCTTGTGTGCTTGAATTAATATGCCTGTTTGTGCTATGCTAGTGCGTGTGTGTATACGTACATGCATGCATGCATGCATGTGTGTGTGTGTGTGTGAAGGGCAGAGGATAACTTTCAGGAGGCGGCTCTCTGCTTTCACTGGGTGAGACAGGGTCTCTCAATGTTTCTGTGCCTCTGTGTGTTCCAGTCTGGCTGCTGTGTAGGTTTCAGAGCTGTTCTACTCTCTCAGCCTCCAATCAGGATTTAGGAGTGTTGAGATTACGTATGTGAGACACTTGTTGTTTGTTGTGTTCTCTGGGATGAACTCAGATCAATAGGATTGCAATGTAAGGGCTCTGAACTGCTGGCATATGTGTGTGTGTGTCTCTGTGTGTGTTCTAGCTTTTCAATGAAAAGAAGTGTGTGTGTGTGTGTGTGTGTGAGAGAGAGAGAGAGAGAGAGAGAGAGAGAGAGAGAGAGAGAGAGGAGAAAAAACAGAGATAGAGGTAGAGATTGGTTTTTATCAGTTCAGAATGAAGATGGAGAAAAACTCATTGTGATGTGAGCTTTTTCTTTCTCCTAAGCTAAGCATCATCTTTGTGCCTTTGAAGCCTGTGTCATTTATCAGCGTGTCTGACTGTAGCTCTTCATGAAGACTTCTGCTTAGTATTCTGTTAGCATGGGGAACTAACATTATCTAGATCAGGTGGTGATTTCATACTCGTTACACTGCAATCACCAGGCAATGGGTTCTGGAAAACTCGTGTGTTAATATGGTTTTATGCAAATCTAATGTCGTAAAAGTGATATCTGTTTTTATTTCAGTCACATCTTTGAAGCATAGAAACAACTGCCCTTTCACTTTATTTGACTCAAGAATATGCTAAGATCTCATTTCTGTTAGTGATATTGTGGTTTGTATATTGTGGTTTGTATTCTAATCCTTTGCATATCCAAGATGTTGGTCCCTTCATGCCAAGGGGAACACTCCATGGTTGCCACACTCATCACATTACCATTTACTTTCTGTATCAACCTAAAATTTCGACATTAGTCTAAATTAATCATGTCAATTTATATGCTAATGATTTTCACTGAAATCTTGGAAGATGTCTGGCAACTGAATGTCTGTTTATTAAAATCACTTGAGATCTGTCTCCCTGCTAAGACCTCCCTTGACCAATGACTCACTTTGAGCATACATAATAGCTAATATTAATTTAGAAACCAAGTTGGATTAGGCTTAAAAGAAAGAGCATTTGAGTTTGGTTCTGACAATGTTAAAATTACAGTTACTAATGGTTTTATTAATTAAGTGTAATAATTATGTCAAGTCTGCCCCTGTCTCTCCTAATGCTGAATTTAGATGGTTCAAGGTAACTAGCTAGTTGTTAGCCATTTGTAATGGAAACTGGCAATTGGTTAAGTAGGGGATACAAACAGAGCGAGCTCTGCTGCTTGCTTTATACCTTCTGAAGGTTTAAAACACAAAAGAAAATTGTCCATTTCCTTTACATTTTCCACTTTTTTCGAATACATATTTTTGAAATATGACCTGATAATTCTCTGGATTTCCTCAGTGTCTGATGTTATGTCCCCCTTTTCATTTCTGATTTTGTTAATTTGGATTTTGTCTCTCTTTCTTTTGATTAGTTTGAATAAGGGTTTGTCTATCTTGCTGATTTTCTCAAAAACCCATCTCTTTGTCCCATTGACTCTTTGTTTCATTTACTTTGTTTCTATTTTATTGATTTTAGTCCTCAAATTGATAATTTCCTGGTATCTACTCCTCCTGGGTGAGACTCCTTTTTGTTCTAGAGCTTTCAGGTGTGCTGTTAAGATGCTAGTGTGAGATTTCTCCAGGTTCTTTATGTAGGCACTGAGTGCTGTGAACTTTCCTGTTAGTACTGCTTTCAAAGTATCCCAAAGAATTGGGTATGTCATGCATTCATTTCCATTAAATTCTAGGAAGACTTCCTTTATTTTTCCTTGATCCAGGGGTAATTCTGTTGAAAACTGTTCAGTTTCCATCAGTATGTGGGAGTTTTGCCATTAGTGTTGCTGAATTCTAACTTTATCCCATAGGTGATCCAATAAGACACGGGGTCATTTCCACTTTCTTTATCTGTTGAGATTTGCTTGTGATCAAATATGAGGTTGATTATAGAAAAAAACCCTGCAGAAACAGCTGACCCAAGGTTGTGGGAGCTCACTGGCTCCTGACTGACAACTAGGGAACTGGCACAGGACCAAGCTAGGCCCTCTGAATATGGGTGACAGTCATATGGTTTGGTCAGTTTTGTTAGTCCACTGGCAGTGGGTCCAGGATTTATTTACCCCTAGTGTGTGAACTGGCTGTTTGGAATCCATTCCCAATGGAGGGATACTTTGCTCAGCCTAGATACAGGGAGGATGGCCTTAGTCCTGCCTCAAGGGATATGACAGACTTTGTTGACTCCCCGTGGGAGACCTCATCCTCTATGAGGAATGAATGGGGAGTGGGGGAGTGGGGAGTGGGGCGGTGGGCAGTTGGGAGAGCAGGCGGAAGGGAGGGGGAGGGAACTGGAATTGGTATGTAAAATAAAAAAAAAGATCTCTTAAAGAATAAAAGAAAAAGTAAAATAAATAAATAAAAAACAAAAAAGGCTATTACTTTTATAGTTGCTGTGACAAAATATCTGACAGAGATTATTTAATCAAGGGAGGAAGGCTCAGGGCTACAGGGAACTAGTTTGCCTTCCCTGCTCTAACTGACTGACTTTCCCTGCAGCAGTTGAAGTAGGGAAAGCAAACAGGGAAGCTTTGTCTGTGGCAATGGTCTATTGCTTCTCACATGCTGGTAGACAGGGAAGAAGACAAATCTGAACTGATTCCAGAAGTAGTGATAACCATTAAGACGCACCACAGACAGCCTTCTGCTAACCAGACCATATCCCATCCCAAAGGTTAACCAATCTCCTAAAAGGTAACAGTGTATTCAAACACATGATATCCCTTCTCTCTGTGTCACTCTTTTTCTCTTGTTTGGTGGTGGTGGTGCTGGTGGTGGTGGTGGTGTGTGTGAGTGCTACAAAATTTCAGTCCAAGTGTAAATCAGAGAGCCAGTGTGATGGCTAAATGGATGAAGGCACTTGCCAGCATGACTGATAACTTGAAAATGATACCTGAGCCTAAAATGAGAAAACTTACCCCTATATACATTATCCTTTGACCGCCACACTTCTGCTTGGTGCACTTGTTCCTTGCCTCCCCCATCCTTCAAATAAATAGAGACCAGGGTGTCCTTGGACTGACAGAGAACAGCCAGCCTCTGCTTCGTGATTACAGGGATTAAAGGTCTGCACCAACATGCCCAGCCTCCTATTGCTCTTTGTGCTGCCTCTGTGTTCTCTGGACTTCAATGTGTCAAAGTGGCCTAGGGCTAGGAAGTTAGCAAACATCCTGAGACTGACTACTCATTTCCACTGATCATCTACTCTATTTGTGTATCAAACGTATTCATTCTGGGGACTGGAAAGATGGCTAGGTAGTTTATGACACTTGTTCCTCTTGCAGAGACCTGGACTAGATTCCAGCACCCACACATATGCTGACAACCATCTGGAACACCAATTCCAGGAGATCGAATGCTGTCTTGGGTGTCTGTGGGCAGCACACACACAAGGTGAATGGAGAGAATGCATGCAAAATATTTATACACATAAAATAAATCAGTTTAAAACATTGTATGTATGTTATGTGCACTCATGTTGACAGTTATGACTCCAGGAGTCTTTATTTTTTATTCTCTATATTTCATGAATCCTCCACAACTGTGATAAAAGTTACTCACTTTCTGATTTTTGTTTCCATAGTCTAATTTGCTATCACTTAAACCTTAGAACAGGGATTCTCAACCTGTGAACCCATTTGGGGATTATAGGACCTTTTTACAGAGATCATCTAAGGCCTTCTGGAAACATAGATATCGACATTATGATTCATCACATTAGCAAAATTACAGTTATGAAGGAGCAGCAAAAATCATTTTACTGTTAGGATCACCACATGAGGAAATGTGTTAAATGTTCACAGTATAAGGAATATTGAGAACTACTGTCTTAGAAGGGGACAGACTAGCATGGGTATTCATAGGAATGAGAGTATGATGGAGGTGAAAGATATGTTCAAGGCTTTGTCTTCTCTGACATGATTTGCAACTATACAGACATAGAAACATAAAGTCAACATTCTTCTCACATGCAAATATGTTACTTATTAAATTAATAGGAATTACCATCAAGCATGATTTCTTTCTAGAGAATTCAGGCAGTGCCTCTCCCAGACTATTTAGGTCCATTACTGATTTGCTAAGACCTTCTTGGTCCCGCTTCTTCATTGCAGCGATCTTCTTGGAATACAAAATTTGTTTCTGTATGATCTGCAATGAAAAGACAGAGGATCAATTTTCCTAGTTTGATTAGGAAATGAACTCTTGATTTGGGGTGCACAATATCAAAGCTACTTTATTCCTTACTAGCTAGATTGAGAAAATCATGAACTAAGAAACTTGGCCTTTCCCTGTGATTCAGACTAAACTGAACTCACTATATTTTAAAATTTCTGAATGTTATATGAGATGATTATTAATTTTAATAGCCCCCCTTTCATCAGTGTTTCTCTTCTATGTTTGGGAGGCAAAATTCATATTATTTTTCACTTATAAATAAACTCTCACTAGTGTCCTCCATATCATAGGATCTGTGAAACTGCTTTATAGAAACCCATTTTTCTGCTGAGTCTCATTCAAAAGTCATTAATATTCAACTTCTGAGTCACACAACCCTTACTCTAAGGCTCCAGGTTACAAACAGGATTCCTAACCTCCAGCAGCTCACAGTGATGAGGTCATTTTACTATGAACACATAAATGCTAAGCATAACACTAAAATATTTTAAATAGGTTAACATGATACAAAGAATCAGAGTGTATATTATTGTCAAATACAGAGCAAATATCCAGAAACCAAAGTGCTACTATATGGTAATTGAATCTTCACATCTACAACTGCTGGTTAATTGGGGAAAAATACTTACTGTGTACCTGGAGGAAGAGTTGTCAATATCCTCCTAGTGGAATCAAATAGAAAACACACTGTAATCTCTTCATAATGAAAACTCGGTTGAACAGATTACAAATAGCTAAATTTCTTGCTAATGTAAATACAGAAGAAAAGAGACAAACAGAGGAGATGCTCTTATCTGTGATCCTGAAATAGGAATATCCAAAGGAAGAGAAAACCTACCTGCCATTATGCTGAGAGAAAAGGCATTTGGGTGATGCCTGGACCACTACAATAACTGGACCCTTTAAAATGTATTCAGATGTATTACCAGAGTTGTTTTTATAATCAGTCTAATGTGTATCTATTTCTGCAAACCATCCTTGATCAAGCACCAGGCACCATTGATGTGGGAGTGTCATATATCAATTTGTTGATTTCATTGGTTAAGCAATAAAGAAACTGCTTGGCCCTGATAGGTTAAAACATAGGTGGGAGGAGTAAACAGAACAGAATGCTGGGAGGAAGAGGAAGTGAGCTCAGAGACGCCATGCTCCTCTCGCCCGGCCAGTCGCATGCGATGAAGCTCCGACCCAGGATGGACGTAGGCTAGAATCTCCCTGGTAACCCTCCTTGTGGGCTACACAGATTATAAGAAGTGGGCTAGTCCAGGTGCGAGAGTTAGCGGAGAAGAAGCTAGATATAATGGGTCAAGCAGTGTTTAAAAGAATACAATTGTGTGTTGTTATTTCGGGGCATAAGCTAGCCAGGTGGCTAGGGTGCAGGGGATGCAGCCCTGCTGCTCGTATTACTACACACCTTCTAATATATGAGAACTGCACTCAATCTTCCACTCCCTGTGGTTCCAGTTCATTCTCTTATTGGGCCACAGCTATCTGCAAGGACTTACTGCTCACTGGAATTTATAGAAAGGATGGTTCACTGATACCAAACACTTTTCTCTGACCAAATTTCCATATAAAACTGTGATAGGTAGACTAAAGCTGCATTTTAACAAAATTCATAAGGAAACAAATTTCACAAAGGAGAATTTTACCTTAGTAGTGTTGGTGGCCTTGTCCTCTGTTGTAACATGAGGGTTTTCAGAGAGCCTTTAGAATAAAAACATGCAGTGAGGGGTGAGTTTGGTCCTTAGAGCATCTCTCTTGAGAAATTTGTTATCTGTGCACTAAGTGACATTTTTGCATTTATGTAATTCAATGTTGACCCCCGTTTTAAAAAGTTTTTGCTTTGGCAGTTTCAACTTGTCTCAATCTATGTAACATTCACTAAAGACTCACTCATAGTTCTATTTAAAAATGAAAATTGAAAAAGCCAGTGGTTTGGGAGATGGCTCAGTCAATAAGAATGTTTGCTGCCAACACAGATCAACCTGAGTTTGAATCCTCAGCATCCACATAAAAAACTGGGCATGGACACATGCACATGTAACCCAGTACTGTGGGTGGAAGAGAGGCTACCATTTGGGCTTGTTGGCTGCCAGACCAGCTCCAGGGTCAGTCAGAGATCTTATGTCAAGTGGATAAGTTAGTGAATGATGCAAGACACCAATATCCTCCTCTTTCCTTCATGTCTGCACAGAGAAATATGCAAAGCATGCAACAGGCACAGGCACATGCACACATGCAACACACACACACACACACACACACACACACATCCAATCACATAAGAAGGGGAAATGGCGAGTTTTGCACATACTTGTTATGATGCTTGCAGTAACTGATTGTTTTGCGCACTTAATGCTCCTATTTCATTTGTTCCCCTAAACCTAAAACACCATAGCCTATTTTTTTGTTAAAAAAAATTAGGCATTTCATGTCATAGCACTCTCTCCCAAGGAGTTGCTGTGGAAAAACATGAAATGTACTCTATGTCTAAGCATTAAGTTGCCATCAGTCTCAAGAGTCACCATATTTTGGGGCCTTGAAGCAATGTTTTGATAGTATGTCCACATGCATATGTTGGAACTCTTTATACTCAAGGGTATTTCTGAGTCATTTTATAGGACACTGGAGAGCAACATTGTCCCCTCAGCTTTGCTTCATCTGAACTACAGCTAAAAGTTCCAAATTTCAGGGTTTCTGATTGGCAAACTCTGGAACAAACACTTTCTTTTTCTAACTTCCTTGGGATTCACCACAGAGGTGGAACTCATTAAGACGGAAATAAACCTGCTGAACAGAAGCATGTCTATAAGGCCATTCTGAGGTGATTTTCTCAGCAAAGTCTGGGAGAGTTTTGCCCACACTCTTCCCAGCAGACAACTTGCCCCAAACATACTAGTAAACAGGATTAATAGCCTGAAAACTAATATTTTTACATATATGTACATGGCATGTTATGTAAGTATGTGTGATTTCACATACATACGTGCCAGTGTGTAGGTGTGGTGATTGGAGTACAGACTTGGGTGTTGACCCTCACCCTCAGTTATATGGGTGAATCTCATTCATGAATGCAAGCCCCAGGTTAGCAATCCAGGCAAGCCATCCAGAAAATGTGAGGGGATGCTCTGTCTCCACCTGCAGTCTCACCAAAGCTTGCCAGGATTTTAGAAGTGCACAAGACCAACAGGCCTCATGTGGACCCTAAGCATCCATCTCCCATTCTCCCATTTACACAGCCAGCACTTTATCTGCTGAATCACCACCACAGACAGGGAGTCCTAACAGCATTGCACGCTGTATCTAAGGCATAATTCAGCTTTCATTAGCAAATAATCAAGAAGCTAAAATTGTCTTACACAGAGGAAAACATGGTGCCAGCTTCTAAACTTTATATTCTCTACATACTCATTGTATTTAAAAGCTAGACATTCTTACCCGAGTGAGATCTGGTCTTGATTTCTTCCATTATCTACAGAGTAGAAAGGCAAAATATGTTATAAGCAACTGTAGAAAAAAGAGCATTGAATGCCAAGGCCAATGCTTCGTTACTACATATACTTTGAATATGTGTAGACTTTAAGGTGGATACTGATATATAGACAATAAATACAAGGATAACTCAATTTACATTTCTTTGTATGTTTAAAATACAGAAACAATTTTACCAAAAGTCAATACTAACAATAAATTGGTGTACAAAACACCTATGATCATGAGCATTATCAAACAGAGAAACTGACATCTTAACCAGAATCAATATCACAAGCTGAAGTGTTACAGTAGTAGCACAGTGTTGCTGCTGCTGGATTTGTCTCTGGACTAGTGGTGTTAGGAGAATTGCAAGTGAGCATACTCATCTTGCATGGAAGTGAAAAGAGCCTCTCTGAAGATTAAGTTGAATTTATTTCGTTGAAGATGAAAATTCCAGACACAAGGAAGCTAAGTCTACGAGGACTGCTCCTTGCAGCATAGCAAAACTTAAGACACACAGGTAGACCAAGGGCAAAGAATTTCCAGATGCCAGGGTGGCAAAGCTACACAGAGAGAGAGGGCATTGTGTGTACTCTCCTCAAGTGCTTCTGAGGAGGCTGCAGAAGCCCCTCAGTTCCAGCTTCTGGTCCCTTGCTAATGGGCAGTGCAAAGAAGCTCAGCACTAGCTGCTATCACCTCCCATGGTAAGAGCTATGGGAAAGCCCCCTGCAGTAGCTATGCACCCTGAACTGTATTTCTAGGGTGAGAAGGATGGAAGAAACGTGGGGACCAAGCAGCAATTCCATGGGAGTAGTACCTCACAGGAAACGTTTGTGTCTACACATACACAGCTTCAGTGAGCAGCTTTTACTGCATGCTAACAGCCCGCCCTCTACAAAGGAATAAAGCAAATATTTGCTTATTTCATTCACAGTATGGGAACTGCAGTATAACCTCCTTGGCATTGCCTATGGCTCAGGCAGAGCATTAGTCCCACAACAAATGAACTGCCAGTGAGGCTTGGCATGTGGGAGACCTCCATCAACCATCGTCACCACAAAGGAAATTTAGTGTGGAAATAATGTAAACAACAGTCACCCACATTACAATAATGCTGACTCTTTTCAATAAAGTCTTTCAGATTCCTCTACACTCCACGGACTCCTATTCACTTGATGCTGTGCTCTCAATAGGCAAGGTAGGTGTGAAAGACACTGTGGTGACGGCTGAGAGCCCAAATTCTGTAGTGTTCCTCCCACTCTTAGAATCTTATCCAGACTCAGTGGACCAGTCAGTGCTGTCCCCTGCAGAATGATACTCTTTTCTCAGCCTTCCTCCTACTGTGGCAAATTGTTCTGGAAATTATGTCTATCAGCATATAAACCAAGTATCACCATATCTTACACTAATAAAACCAAAGAAAAAGGTGCTGGCGGTATAGCCATTAGGGCGAGCGCTAGTCTAGAGTGCTTAGAATGGCAATGTTCAATCCGCAGCACTGCCTACAGGACTCAAAGTCCATATTTTAAAAAGTTGACCAAGCCTATTATTTCTTATGCCAAGACATAGTCAGATTAAATAGCAGATAATTAAAGATAAACATAAAACCATATGTGAATTTCCTAATATGTCTAAGTAGAGAAATTACAGAAAGGAACAAAACCCATAAAAATGTAGTTAATTTAGTTCTCAAAATCCTTAATGAAAGTAATTGAATACTGTATTTCTGTTTTTTACATGATCACCTTTTATTGACACTAATATATGCAGCATAAATATATTTATTATAAAAATGAAAGAAAAATTCAAAATTGCTGTCACATAACTCTAGAGGACACATACTGTGGACTAGTTAGAGGTCCTTATATTTATACAAAGATACTGTGTGCATCAGAGGCTCATGTTAAATAAACAAACATGGTTCAGATAATATAGTTTGATACTGAAATTTCTCAGAAAATCATTTCTTAAGTAATTTTGAATGTGAAGAACATTAGGAGGCAAATTTTAAAAAATGAAATTGCGTTTATATCTTATTTACTTTGTTCCTTTTTTGAATGAATTAAGTTGCTATTGAAACTAGAGAAGTAGCAGCAAGTATTCATGATTACTCTTACCTCCACTGATCTGAAGAGACTTCTTAAGTATTGATTTCAGCTCTCCAGATGGTCGTACGCCGCTGTGGCATATTTTAAAAAGTAATATTTTAATATTCATACAAGAACATTTACCGAATGCTTTGATTATTTGTTGTTTGATTTCCTAACATACATTAGAGATTTACAGTCAAGCAAAAACTTGTCCTTCAGTTGATTAGGTTTGGTGACACTTTTTAAAGCTTTTCCCATGTGAAAGAAAGGAAAGAATTTAGTCCACAGAAATTAGTCCACCAAAAGCATAGAAACACACAAGGGAGAGAGAGGGAGAGAGACAGAGATAGATAGAGAGATAGAGAGAGAAAGAGAGACAGAGAGACAGAGAGAGAGATAAAGAGAGAGAGAGAACACCAAAGACACTAGTTTTGGGGGTGGAGTGGAATGGGGATAAGGGGAGATGGGGAGAGAACAGTGAGAAGGGGAGGATTGGGAAAACTTGGGGAAACGGGATGATTGGGATAATGGAAGGCTGGATAGGGGAGCAGGGAAGCACATATCTTAGTTAAGGGAGCCACCTTAGAACTGGCAAGAGACTTGAATCTAGAGTGGCTCCCAGGTGCCCAAGGCGATGTCCCCAGTTAGTTCCTTGGGCAGCTGAGGATAGAGAATCTGAAATGACCCTATCCTATAGCCATACTGATGAATGTCTTGCATATCACCATAGAACCTTCATCTGGTGATGGATGGAAATAGAGACAGAGATCCACACTGGAGCACCGGACTGAGCTCCCAAGGTCCCAATGAGGAGCAGAAGAAGGGAGAACATGAGCAAGGAAGTCAGGACCACGAGGGGTGCACCCACCCACTGAGACAGGGGCTGATCGATTAAGAGCTCACCAAGGCCAGCTGGACTGTGACTGAAAAAGCATGGGATAAAACCGGACTCTCTGAACATGGTGAACAATGAGGGCTGATGAGAAGCCAAGGACAATGGCATGGGGTTTTGATCCTACTTCATGTTCTGGCTTTGTGGGAGCCTAGCCAGTTTGGATGTTGACCTTCCTAGACCTGGACGGAGGGGGGGGGGGGAGGACCTTGGACTTCCCACAGGGCAGGGAACCCTGACTGCTCTTTGGACTGGAGAGGGAGGGGGAGAAGAGTGGGGGGAGGAGGAGAGGAGTGGGAGGAGGGGGAGGGAAATGGGAGGCTGGGAGGAGGCAGAAACTTTTTTTTTCTCAAAAAAAATTTTAAAAAAAAGACACTAGTTTTTCTCCAGCACATTTTTTAATGCTGTAGTAACTGATAGTCACTCTTGTGCTCAATGTAATTAGTACCCCGATTCCACTTGTCATGTCATCATCTGCTCCTAGAGCATCACAGAACCCCTCTCTCTCAGGTTACTTTGTGGGCTCTCAATGCACGTGATGCTATCTCTCACAAGGTTCTTTGTGGACCATAGAATAGATTCCTGCTTCTGCTAGCACTCTGACGAGATACCATGGCCTAGGATATGCTCAAGCTGCCCCTTAGTAGTCCATTCATGAGTGAATCTTGAAACCACAATCTATGCCAAATGAGCATTGCTATTAATTTAACGAGATAAAAATATGAACAAACAGCAATATAAACTCAGTGGATAATTTCAGGTTATTAGCTTGAGACAGTTTAGAATTCCTAGTAGAAAGGAACATGGTTTTTAAGAGGTGTGTCTTTGAACAGTTGTAGCTACTGTAAATTATGAATCTGCACTTTGGACATTAACTGTGATGCATTTTGGACCTTTTAACTTGGAGTGATTTATTAATAAATCATTAGTAATAAGCAATTTACTAATGTGTATCGAATGTTTTATGATACATGTTCCCACAAATGATAACACAATTGTCCTCTATTACGAAAGTAATCAATTAAGATGAGCACAGAACTAGCTCGACATACCACCTTTAATTTTCTGCCAAATCAGTGTCTGAGATAGCAGATCACTGACAGAAGGGGCCTCTAGTCTATGTTCATGTCCTACTGATGGGGAAGACAAAGCCCCTTTTATAGACACATAAAGAGTAACCATGCCACAGTTTGGCTCTCTATATCCAGATAATCTACTGAGATCCAGAGACTTCATTACTGTAGAAAACAGCTCACAGGAATGGAAAAGTGACGGATGGAGCACTGTGGTAGGAGGAAGGCATGGGATCTTCCACCATCTATAAAAGGGTCCTACGCAGAACAAAAGGGCCTCTGCATGTGGAGATGGTGTCAAAGGAAGAAAATAATTTGTTGGCTTCTTGTAATACTGTGTGATAATGCAGAGAGATCCCAAATCCTGTCAGCTCTCAGAAAGACAAATGCGATGAAGATCTAGTTCACTAGCTGAGTTCAGAAAAAAATTGAAAAGGCAAGGAGTGTCAGATGGACATAGTGAGTGTGGTTATCATCAGTAGGCTCATTTTCCAAAACGCAGAATTGGTACAGGGGAAATGATGGTTGAGTATACACTTCATGTCCATGATCTAAAAACAACAGTATTTCTGGCTAAAATACATTGATAATACTATGGGGATTGTAAGACAAAGCAAAAATTGAGTGTAAAAATCAGTATCTATCTGAGAATACAACTAATAATTGGCTTGTTATCTTGGAATTTCCTTAGGATTACTTTATTCTTAGACCTTACCTGCAAAAAGGCTTCTTATCAGTATTGTAATGTATTTCTAAAAAAAAAAAAATCAAAATGAATTTGTTACAATGCTAGAGAAATAGAACATATAAAATGATTAGATACATAGTATCCATTTTTGAGACTAATCTAGACTATTCTAGAGTAAATACTCTTTTTTAGGAAATTTGTTCATGGAGAATTAATCCATTTTGTTTATTTCAAATCAAACAAGACTTAAATTTATCAAGCACAATACCTAAAAATAAACAATCACCCTGTGATTCCCAAGACAGCCAGAACTACATAACAATAAAACTGTGTCTCACAAACAAAACAACAGATTCAAAATGGAAAACAAGATCCATGGGCCTATACATATTTTTGTTCTTCAAGGAAACAAAGAAGCTTGTTGAGCCTTTTAGTTAAAATTGTTCATTTTATCAGGCAAATTCCTACCACTGGGACTATATGTATTGTTTCTGTCTTTTGTATCAGGATAAAACCTGGCAGAAAGAAAGAGAAGAGGGACAGAGACTTTTACATAACAGCTCAAGGGAGGGCAGGCATCAAGCTTCCTCTCCTCATCCCCTATGGGGAAAGAATATCCTTAGTTCCATCTGTGTTCCCAGACTTATATGCAGCTTAAAGGATGCTCATGATAGCAGGCATCATCTCCCCTGAAATGAATTACTGGAAAGATCTCTACCTTGAGAGTAATAGCCCCAAGTTCGACCTCAAGTGCAAGAGCATCAGAGACGCAGCTGTGAGACTGGAGCAGCAAATTCCATGGGCTTCCTTCTGACATAGGATCATTGTACAAGTTTACATATGTAAACAATAAACTCACTCAATCCTTCACTGTTCACTTGCAGTTTGCTTTTAGAAATGAAACATTGGAGGCTGGCAGTGGTGGCTCACACCTTTAATCCCAGTGCTTGGAAACAGAGGAAGGAGGCTCTATGGGAGTTCAAGGCAAGCTTGTGTAGAAAATACATTAAAGGGCAGGCTCCAAATATACATACAGAAAAACCCTGACTCAAAAAAAAAACCCTAAAATAAACATAAACAAACCAAAAAAAGAAATGAAATCATTCATTTTTGTCTTGTTTAAAGTCAAGGAAACTTAGTGTGCCTTTTCAGCATTCCCCCATGTCTCAGGACAGCCATTTGAGACACCAACTAGTGTACTGGGATTGAGGCTCAGTAGGAAAGCCTATGCTTATTATGCAGGAGGCCTCAGTCAGTTCTCACCACCACAAATGCCATGAATGGCAAACTTCATAATAAAGTGACACAAAGCTGTCTCCATTACAATAATATTGACTTTCTTCATCTTACCTCTTGAGAAAAGAGGGTTTTGCATTCTCTACTTAGTGTGGTTGCCACTGGCAGCTTAGGTATAAAAGACACTGTGATGTCAGTTGGTGAAAGTAAATACTACGTGGTGCTCCTGCCACTGCCACGAAGTCTCTCCAGACTCAACGGAGAAGCAGATAATTATTTGAAATACAGAATGATGTCATTTTCTTCACTTTGCTTTTTGTTTCAATTTTTTAAAGATTTATTATATCTACAGTGTTTTGTCTGCATATATTCCTGCAGGCCAGAAGAGGGCACCAGATCTCATTACAGATGATTGTGAGCCACCATGTGGTTGCTGGGAATTGAACTCAGGACCTCTGGAAGAGCTGCCAGTGCTCTTCACCTCTGAGCCATCTCTCCAGCTCCTTGTTTCAGTTTTTATTCTTGAATCATGCTTTGCAGCATGGAAATGATATACACCCTTACCATGTTCTATTTAACAAAAACAGAAGGCATTTATTATATTTAGGTATGACCCTTGTATCCCTAATCTCTCCAAGACTTTTAACAGAAATGGATGTTGAATTTTGTCAAATGCTTTTTCAGCATCTAATGAAATGATCATATGTTTTTTTTCTTTCAGTTTATTTATATGCTGGATTACATTGATAGATTTTCGTATGTTGAACCAGCCCTGCATCTCAGGAATGAAGAATACTTGATCATAATGGATAATTTTTCGGATGTGTTCTTGGATTCGATTTGCCAGTATTTTGTTGAGGATTTTTGCGTCGATATTCATGAGTGAGATTGGCCTATAGTTCTCTTTCCTGGTTGAGTCTTTGAGTGGTTTTGGTATCAGAGTAATTGTGGCTTCATAAAAGGAATTTGGGATTGACTCTTCTGTTTCTATATTGTGGAATACATTAAGAAGTATAGGTATTAGGTCTTCTTGGAAGTTCTGGTAGAATTCTGCATTGAAACCATCTGGTCCTGGGCTTTTTTTGGTAGGGAGGTTTTTGATAACAGCTTCTAATTCTTCACGACTGACAGGTCTGCAAGCCAACAGCTAACATCAAACTAAACGGAGAGAAACTCAAAGCCATCCCACTTAACTCAGGAACACGACAAGGCTGTCCACTCTCGCCATACCTCTTCAATATAGTGCTTGAAGTTCTAGCAATAGCAATAAGACAACATAATGGGATCAAGGGGATTTGAATTGGAAAGGAAGAAGTGAAACTTTCGTTATTTGCAGATGATATGATAGTGTACTTAAGCGACCCCCAAAACTCCACCAAAGAACTTTTACAGCTGATAAACAGCTTTAGTAATGTGGCAGGATACAAGATCAACTCCAAAAAATCAGTCGCCCTCTTATACACAAAGGATAGGGAAGCAGAGAGGGAAATCAGAGAAGCTGCACTATTCACGATAGCCACAAACAGCATAAAATATCTTGGGGTAAATCTAACCAAGGAAGTGAAAGATCTATTTGACAAGAACTTTAAGGCATTGAAGAAAGACATTGAAGAGGATACCAAAAAATGGATGGACCTCCCTTGCTCTTGGATTGGGAGGATCAACATAGTAAAAATGGCAATTCTACCTAAGGCAATTTATAGATTCAATGCAATCCCCATCAAGATCCCATCAAAATTCTTCACAGATCTGGAGAAGACAATAATCAACTTTATATGGAAAAACAAAAAACCCAGGATAGCCAAAACAATCCTATACAATAAAGGATCTTCTGGAGGCATTACCTTCCCTGACTTCAAACTCTATTACAGAGCTACAGTAATGAAAACAGTGTGGTACTGGCATAAAAACAGAGAAGTCGACCAATGGAAACACATAGAAGACCCGGATTTTATCCCACAAACCTATGAACACCTCATTTTCGATAAAGGAGCTAAAAGTATACAATGGAAGAAAGAAAGCATCTTCAACAAATGGTGCTGGCACAACTGGATGTCAACCTGTAGAAGAATGAAAATTGACCCATATCTATCACCGTGCACACAACTCAAGTCCAAATGGATTAAAGACCTCAATATCAGCCCGAACACACTGAACCTGATAGAAGAGAAAGTGGGAAATACCCTACAACAGATGGGCACAGGAGATCGCTTCCTATGTATAACCCCAGAAGCACAGACATTAAGGGCGACATTGAATAAATGGGACCTACTTAAACTGAGAAGCTTCTGTAAAGCAAAGGACATTGTCACCAAGACAAAAAGGCAACCTACTGACTGGGAGAAGATCTTCACCAACCCCGCAACAGACAAAGGTCTGATCTCCAAAATATATAGAGAACTCAAGAAACTAGACTTTAAAATGCTAATTAACCCAATTAAAAAATGGGGCACTGATCTGAACAGAGAATTCTCAACAGAAGAAGTTCAAATGGCCAAAAGACACTTAAGGTCGTGCTCAACTTCCTTAGCAATCAGGGAAATGCAAATCAAAACAACTTTGAGATATCATCTTACACCTGTCAGAATGGCTAAAGTCAAAAACACCAAGGATAACCTTTGCTGGAGAGGCTGTGGAGGAACGGGTACCCTCATCCATTGCTGGTGGGAATGCAATCTTGTGCAACCACTGTGGAAGTCAGTGTTTCGGTTTCTCAGGAAATTCGGGATCAACTTACCCCTGGACCCAGCAATACCACTCCTGGGAATATACCCAAGAGATGCTCTATCATATTACAAAAGCATTTGTTCAACTATGTTTATAGCAGTATTATTTGTAATAGCCAGAACCTGGAAACAACCTCGATGCCCTCCAATGGAGGAATGGATGAAGAAAGTATGGAATATATACACGCTAGAGTACTACGCTGCGGTAAAAAACAATGACTTCTCAAATTTTGCATGCAAATGGATGGAAATAGAAAACACTATCCTGAGTGAGGTGTCCCAGACCCAAAAAGATGAACATGGGATGTACTCGCTCATAATTGGTTTCTAGCCATAAATAAGGACCACGGAGTCTACAATAGGTGAACCTAAAGAAGCTAAGTAAGAAGGTGAACCCAAGGAAAAACATACAGTTATCCTCTTGGCTAAGGGAAGTAGACCAAATTGCCAGGGAGAAAATTGGGATCTTGGGGGTGGGGTAGGGTGGGGGTAAGAGGAGATGGGGAGAGAAAAGGTAGAAGGGAAGGAGGGGGGACTTGGGGAAACAGGAGAATTGGGATAAAGGAAAGGTGGATAGGGGAGCACGGAACCACAATTCTTAGTTTAGGGAGCCACTTTAGGGTGGGCAAGAAACTTGACCCTAGAGGGGCTCCCAAGTGCCCAAGATGAGGTTCCCAGTTAGTTCCTTGGGCAGCTGAGGATTGGGAACCTGAAATGACCCTATCCTAGAGCAATACTGACGAATATCTTGCATATCATCATAGAACCTTCATCTGGTGATGGATAGAGATAGAGACAGAGACTCACACAGGAGCACTGGACTGAGCTCCCAAGGTCCCAATGAGGAGCAGAAGGAGGAAAAACATGAGCAAAGAAGTCGGGACCACGAGGCGTGCACCCACCCACTGAGACAGTGGAGCTGATCTACTGGGAGCTCACCAAGGCCAGCTGGACTGTGACCGAAAAAGCATGGGATAAAACCGGACTCTCTGAACATGGCGAACAATGAGGGCTGATGAGACGCCAAGGACAATGGCACGGGGTTTTAATCCTACTTAATGTGCTGGCTTTGTGGGAGCCTAGCCAGTTTGGATGTTCACCTTCCTAGATATGGACGGAGGGTGGAGGACCTAGGACTTACCACAGGGCAGGGAACCCGGACTGCTCTGTGAACTGGAGAGGGAGGGGGAGAGGAGTGGGGAGAGGGGGAGAAGGGTGGGAGGAGGGGGAGGGAAATGGGAGGCTGGGAGGAGGTGGAAACTTGTTTTTTGTTTATGTTTTTTTTCTTCTTTTCTCAATAAAAAAAATTAAATAATAATAAAAGAGCATCCAAAGGCACAAAAAAAAATAACAAAAACAGAAGGCAGAGATAATGGGTAGGGTGCTTGCCTACAATGCTCCCAAAGCCTTATGTTCAACCTCTAGCACTTCAGAGAAAAGAAAGAAAGAAAAAAAGAAAGAAAGAAGGGAGGGAGGGAGGGATTTAGGGATGGGTGGAAGGAATGAGGGGAGGCAGGGACCAAGAAAAAGGAAGAAGGAAAAGAAAGAAAAGGAAAACATATAAGGATTGTTAAGTCTTCCTAAAATCAATGCATTCACTGTGAAAGAAACACTTCCACCCTAAAGTAGGAGATTTCTAAAGAAAACAATTATACAGTATGCCAAAACTTTCCAAACTGAGAACTTGCACAGACATTTAAGAACTCAGATGATTTAATAACATCATAAGGTAGGAAATTAGTTAATGAAAATAATTGATTAAGGTTTTTGTGACTTAATTTCATTTTAGTGGCAGTGAGATGTGTTAGCGATATGCAGTGCAAAATACAAGGCATTTGTCATAAACTCAAGAAGAATCTGTATTTCTGACAATCCTATTTGCTGCATTGTGACTATGGAAGACATGTGCTGTGTAAAGATGTTTTCTCATTTATTCAAAGGCTGTACAGATATCAGCATTAAAGTGAAATAAGCAATGTTTTGACAAAAATACTTCACACTTGAAAGTGCTTGATGTATACTTGTTTTCCTTAACTCCTTTTCGGGATCTAAAATCTTTACTCTTCCTTATTCCTTCTTCAGGGAAGGTAGGACAGATGGAGTAATTCTTACCTTTGTTGAAGGTGACACACTTTTTCTTTCTCTGCTCTGGCTCTCTTGTCATTGTTCCTTCACTGTGACATATGTTGAAAGTGATCATCATTTAATTATCCATATAAAAACACTTAGCATGTTTATAAATTCTTTATTTTTGAGTCCCTAATAAATCTTACATTACATATGTTCAAAAACATTTTTTGAAACAGGATCTCATTATGTATTCCAGCTAACTTTTAATACACTATTGTTTCATGTTTGTCTTGAAATCAAAGAGATCTATGCCTCCTGCCTCCCACATTCTGGGATTAAAGGCATGGGCAAAGAGGCCGAGCCACATAATTTTGAATTCATTCTTCAACAGTTGGTGATGATTAATGACTGCTCTCCTTTCCACCTTTCCTCATAAAGAAGAACACAGACAATTTATCTCTTGATTAAAACACACACACACACACACACACACACACACACACACATCCAAGCACACAAGACAGGGGAATGGCGGTTTTTCCACACACTTTGTTCTGATGGTTGCAAGTAACTGACTGTTTTGTGCTCTAAGTACTTAATGCTCCTATTTCATTTCTTCCCCTAAACCTAAAGCACCTTGTCCTGTTTTCTGTCAAGAAACTTTTTAGGCATTACATTTAGTCACTCACTCTCTCCCAAGAAATTGCTTTGGGAGCAACATCTTGATCTAAACATCAAACATCTAAAAATTTAAACATCTAAACATCAAGCTGCCAACAATATCAGAATTCACCATATTTTGGTGATTTGAAGCTGCTTTATTGGTAGTCTGTGCGCAAGTACATGATGAAATTCTTTTTTTTTTTTATTGGTTTTTTGAGACAGAGTTTCTCTGTAGTTTTGAAGCCTGTCCTGGAACTGGTTCTTGTAAACCAGGCTTGCCTTGAACTCACAGATCCGCCTGCCTCTGCTTTCCTGAGTGCTAGGATTAAAAGCATGCACCAAAACCACCTTGATCTATGAGGATCCTCTTTATACGCAATGGCCAGTACTTCCTGCACAAGTCTTGAGTATTTACAGGGCACTGCAGAGCAATACAGTACTCTCAGCTCTACTCCATCCGAACTACAGCTAAGAGCTCCAAATTTCAGGGCTTCTGGTTGGTAAACTCTGGACCAACCAGTTTGTTTTTCTAACTTCACCTACCTTGTGAGTCACCACAGTTGGGTAACTCATTAAGGGAGCTATTAACCTGCTGGACAGAAGCATGTCTATAAGGCCATTCTGAGGTAATCTTTAGCAAAGCCTTGGAGAGTTTTGAACCTTGCCATATTATTCACACTCTTCCCACAGACAACTCAAACAAACAAATTAGTGAAAAAGATTAATGACTTGAAAATGGATCCCTTTACATATATGTGCAAAATATGTTATATGCTGTGTATTTCTATGTATGTATGATTTAAGATAAATACATGCCAGTGTGTAGGCATGGTGATTGGAATATAGACTTGGGAGTTGACCCTAACCTTAAGCATTAGTTTACTAGCTGGGTCTCTCACTCATGAATGTAAACCTCAGGCAAGCAATCCAGAAAATGTCAGGGGATGTTCTCTGTCCACGTGCAATCTCATCATAACCTCACCAGAATTTTAGAAGCACACAAGACCAACAGGCCTCATATAGACCCTGGGAATCTGTCTCCCATTTTCCCATATACACAGCCAGCACTTTACCCACTGAATCACCTCCACAGACAGGGAGTCCTAATAGCATTTCATGCTGTATCAGAGGAATAATCAGTTATTTAAAACTATATGCTTCTCCATAGATAAATATTCAGCTTTGATTAGCATGTAATCAAGAAGCTGAAACTGCCTTACACAGAGAAAAACATGGTGGCAGCTTCTAAACTTTATATTCGCTACATGCTCAGTGTATTTTAAAATCCAGACCTTCTTACCTGAGTGAGACCTCGTCTTTTAGTCTTCGACTACCTATAAAGTAGAAAAACAAAATATGTTATAATCAATTGTAAAATATAAGAGCATTAAATGCCAAGGCCAATTTTTTTTACTACATATACTTTGTCCCCAAATGAGGCTAAAATTTAAAGTGAATATTGATTTATAGACAACAAATATAGATAACTCTTAATTGAGACTTCTTTGTATGTTTCAAATAGAGACAAACTTATCAAAAGTTACTACTTATAATAAATTGGTGTACAAAACACCTATGATCTTGAGCACTATAAGACATCTTAACCAGAATCAATATCACAAGCTGAAGTGTTAAAGCAGTAGCACAGTGTTGCTGCTGTTGCTTTCGTCTCTGGACTAGTGGTGGTAGGAGAATACTCATCTTGTATGGAAGTGAAAAGAGTTTCTCTAAGGTTTGAGTTGACCTTATTCCATTGAAGATGAAAATTCCAGACAAAAGAAAGCTAAATCTATGGTGACTGCCCTTTGCAACATAGCAAAATTAAAACAAAACAAAACAAAACCACAAGCAGACCAAGGACAATGGCCCCTGCAAAGAATTTCAAACTGACAGGTTGGCAAAGCTCCAGAGAGGGGTCAAGGTGTGTACTCTCCTCAAGTGCTTCTGAGGAAGCTGCAGAAGCCCCTCAGTTCTAGCTTCTGGTCCTTAACTAATGGGCAGTGCAAAGAAGTTCAGCATTAGTAGCTATCACCTCCCATGGTAAGAGCTATTGCAAAGCCCCCTGCAGTAGCTATGCACCCTGAACTGTATCTCTAGGGCGAGAAGCATGGAAAAACATGGGGACCAAGCAGCAATTCCATGGTAGTAGTACCTTACAGGAAACATCAGAGTTCCCACAGACAATGTATCAAGCTCCTACTGCATGCTAAAAGCCCACCCTCTGAAAAGGAATAAAGCAAATTCTTGTTTATTTTATTAACAGTATATAAACTGTAATATAACTTCCTTGGCATTGCCTATGGCTGAAGCAGAGTGTTGGTCCCACCAACAAATGGACTGCCAATGAGGCTTAGCATGTGGGAGACCTCCATCAACCCTCTTTACCACAATGAAAATCCAAGGTAGTGCCTGTTCACCTGCAAGCTCTGTGGAACCCTAAAACACACTTTGTTCCAACACTGAGGGGCCCCAAGAGCCTGTGAGCTCCGTGGAATTCTGAAACACAGCTTGCTCCAATACTGAGGAGACCTATGAGACAGCCACAGCAAAAATTGGACCAAGATGCCAAGACACTGCTGGCCTCATTTGAAGGAAGAGATGGTAGGTGCCTATGCAAAAATTCCTCCAATATCCTAAAACACAGCATGGTAACATGAGAATCCAGTAGACACACAAAAGGAAGACTTGACCATTCTAACCCAAAAGTAGAAGAAAACGACTTTGAACATAACTTTATGAAAATGACGAATACCTTTAAAGAGGAAGTGAAAAACTCCCTTCAAGAAATTGAAGAGAAGACAAAGTTGGAAGAAATGAATAAATCCCTCAAAGAAACCCCAAAAAATACCCACGATAAAACAATCAAACAAGTGAAAGAAAGAGTTGAAGACTTGAAGACTGAAATACATGTAATAAAGAAAATACAAACCAAGGGAATTGTGGATATGGAAAATCTGGGTAAATGAACAGGAGCTACAGAGACAAGTATAACCAACGGAATATAAGAGATAGAAGAAAGAATCTCAGGTGCTGAACATACTATAAAGAAAATACTCATTGGTCAAAAAACATTAAATCCAACAAATTCTTAACACAAAACATTCAGGAAATCTGAGCCACCATGTAAAGGCCAACACTAAGAATAATAGGAGTAGAAGAATAAGAACTCCAGATCAAAGGCACAAAAAAACATATTCAACAAAATTATAGAAGAAAACTTTCCCATCCTAAAGAATAATATCCCTATGAAGACACAAGAAGCTTACAGAACACCAAATAGACTGGATCAAAAGAATAGCATCCCCTAGCCATATAATAATCAAAACAAAGAACATACAGAATAATGAAAGAATATTAAAAGGTGAAAAGGAAAATGGTCAAGTAATATATAAGGCAAACCCATCAGAATTATGCCTGACTTCTCAATGGAAACCATGAAAGCCAGAAGGTCCTGGATAGATGTGTTGCAGACACTAAGAAACTATGGATACAAGCCCAGGCTACTATACTCAGCAAAGCTTTCACTTACCATCTATGGATAAAGCAAGATACTCCATGACAAAAGCAGATTTAAACAGTACATATCCAAAAACTCAGCCTTACAGAAAGTACTAGTAGGAAAACTTCCACCCAAGGAAGCTAAATACACCCACAACACCACAGAAATCTTACTAAAAGAATGTTTCGCAGTAAAAGAAACATTACTAAAACTTAAATCATACATCAAACCACACATACTAATAGTAGGAGATTTCAATACTCCTCTCTATCCAATGGACAGTTTAACCAGACAGAAACTTAAGAGAGAAATAAGAGAACTAACAGATGTAAAGAATCACATGGACTTAACAGATATCTAAACAACACTGCACCCCCCCCCAAAAAAAAGAACTGACTCAGAAGGAGTAGAAGACAGGAAATAATCAAACAGAGGGCTGAAATCAACAAAATAGAAACACAGAAAACAATACAAAGAATCAATGACACAAAGAGCTGGTTCTTTGAAACAAAATCAACAAGATTGACAAACCATTATACAAACTAATCAAATGATGGAGAGAGATCATTCAAATGAACAAAATCAGAAATGAAAAGGACATAACAACAGACATTGAGGAAATTCAGAGAATCATTAGGTCATACTACAAAACCTGTACTACACAATATTGGAAAATGTAAAAGAAATGAACAATTTTTTAGATAGAAACCATATACTCAATGCACCAATTAGTGCTGTCGACTGTAGAATGATGCACTTTCTCAGCCTTCCTTTGTGGCAAATTGCTCTGGAAATTATGTCTATCATCATATAAACCAAGTATCATCATATCTTAAACTAACTAAGAAAACCAAAGGAAAAATGTGCTGGCAATATAGTCAATAGGGCGTGCGCTACCGGAGAATGTTTATAAGAGCAGTGTTCAATCCTCCGAACTGCCTACAGGACTGAAAGTCCATTTATTTCTTTAAATTTTGGGCAAGCCTATTATTTCTTAGGATAAGATTTTTGTCAAGATATATTCAGATTAAATAACAGATAATTAAAGATAAACATAACACCATATGTGAATTGTCTACTATGTCTAAATTGAGAAATTATAGAAGGAGCAAAATCCAGAAAAACTTATTAGCATTTAGTTCTCAAAAAACTTAAAATAATTGAATCCTTTTTTTTGTTTTTTAACATGATCATCTTATTGACATTGATGTATATAATAATATGTAGCATAAACACAATGTGGTTTTAATAAAAAATCTATTTATAACAAGCCAATTTATGGTTACATGACCATAGAGGACACATACTGTGGAATAGTTAGAGATCTTTTTATTTATACAAAGATACCGTGTACATCAGAAGCTCACATTAAATAAACAAACATGTTTCAGATGATAAAGTTTGAGACTGAAAATTTCTCAGAAACTACTTCTTAAATAATTCTGAATCCAAACCCATTTGAAGGCAGATCAAAAGAAGATAGAATAACATTTCTATATTATTTCCTCTGTTCATATTTTGAAAAAACCAAGCTGTTTTTGAAATAGGGAGTTGGTAGTCAAGTATTCACCATTACTCTTACCTCTCTTAATCAGGAAAGACTTCTTCAATAGGGATTTTAGCTGTCTTGCTGGTCTTACTGCACTGTGGCATATTTTAAAAAGTAATATTTTAATATTCATATAAAAAATTTACCAAATGTTTTCCTAAAATACATTAGAGATTTACCATTAGCCATTAAGTTGTCCTTCAATCAGTTGATTAGGTTTGGTGACAGTTTCCTTAACACTTTTTCTCATGTGAAAAAAGAATTTAGTCCACTAAAAACATAGAAAGACACACACACACACACACACACACACACACACACACGATGAAAGACACTAGTTTCTCCACAGAACTTTTTTAATGCTGTAGTAACTGATGGTCACTCTTGTGCTCAATGTAATTAGTACCCCAAGTCCACTTGTCATGTCATCATCTGCTCCTAGAGCATCACAGAACCCCTCTCTCTCAGGTTACATTGTGGGCTCTCAATGCATGTGATGCTATCTCTCACAAGGTTTGTTTGTGGACCATAGAATAGATTCCTGCTTCTGCTAACACTCTGACAAGATACCATGGCCTAGGATATGCTCAAGCTGTCCCTTAGTAGTCCATTCATGAGTGGACTTGAAACTACAATCTGCCTGTTCCTATGCCAAATGAGCATTGCTATTCACTTAACGAGATAAAAATATGAACAAACAACAATAAAACTCAGTGGATAATTTCAGCTTGAGACAGTTTAGAACTCTTAGTAGAAGAGAACATGGTTTTTACAAGGTGTGTCTTTGAACAGTTGTAGCTACTGTAATTTATGAATCTGCACTTTGGATATTAACTGTGATGCATTTTGGACCTTTTAACTTGGAGTAATTTATTAATAAATAATAAGAAATAAGCAATTTACTAATGTGTATCGAATTCTTTATGATACATGTTCCCACAAATGATAACACAATTGTCCTCTATTATGGAAGTAATCAATTAAGATGAGCACAGAACTAGCTTGACATACCACCTTTAATTTTCTGCCAAATCAGTGTCTGAGATAGCAGATCACTAAGAGAAGGGGCCTTTTACTCTATGTTCATGTCCTACTGATGGGGAAGACAAAGCCCCTTTTATAGACACATAAAGAGTAAACATGCCACAGTTTGGCTCTCTACATCCAGATAATCTACTGAGATCCAGAGACTTCATTACTGTAGAAAACAGCTCAAAGGAATGGAAAAGTGATGGATGGAGCACTGTGGTAGGAGGAAGGCACGGGATCTTCTACCAACTATGAAAGGGTGCTACACAGAACAAAAGGGCCTCTGCATGTGGAGATGGTGTCAAAAGAGGTAAACAATTTGTTGATTTCTTGTAACACTATGTGATAATGCAGAATGATCCCAAGTTCTGTCAGCTTTCAGAAAGACAAATGCAATGAAGATCTAGTTCACTAGCTGATTTCAGGAAGTTTTGAAAAGGCAAGGAGTATCAAATGGACATAGTGTGTGTGGTAAACATTAGGAAGCTCATTTTCCAAAACACCAAATTGATACAGGGGAAGTGATGGTTGAGTAAAAACCTCATGCCCATGATCTAAAAACAATAAATTTTCAGTCTAAAAATACATTGAAAAAACTGTGGGGTTGTAAGACAACACAAAAATTGAGTGTATAAATCGGTATCTATCTGAGAATACAACCAATAATTAGCTTGTTATCTGTGAATTTCCTTATTCTTTATATATTGTTAGACCTTACCTGCAAGAAGGCTTTATATCAGTGCTGAAATTTTCTTCTAAAAAATCAAAATTAATTCATTACAATGCTAGAGAAATATAACATATAAAATTATTAGACAAATATTATAATTTTTGAGATGAATCTAGAGTAAATACTCCTTTGTAAGAAATTTCCTCATGGGGAATTCATTCATTTTCTTAATATTTCAAATAAAAGAAGACTTAAATTAACAAGCATAATACCTAAAGGTAAACACCCACCCATAAACAATTGAGATGATCCTAAATGATCTCTCTCAGACAGATGGAGAGTAGCATCCTTACCAGTATAAGCATCAATTGACTGTGTCACAAAATAGCTTCTGTGGTTCTTGTTTGACTTTGGGATAATGACACTTGAGAAAAATTCTAGAGTCTGGATGGTGGCACACAACTTTAATCCCAGCACATGGGTGGCAAAGAGAGGTCGATCCCTGTGATTCCCAAGACAGCCAGAACTACCTAACAATGAGATGGTGTCTCACAAACAAAACAACAGATTCAAAATGGAAAAAAAATCCATGATCCTATACACATTTTTGTTCTTCAGGGAAACAAAGAATCTTGTTCAGCTTTTTAGTTAAAATTGTTCATTTTATGGTACTAAATGCTACCACTGGGACTACATGTATGGCTTTTGTCTTTTGTATCAGCGTATAAGCTAACAGAAAGAAAGAGAAGAGGGGCAAAGACTTTTACCTAACAGCTCAAGGGAGTGCAACAGGATTCCTCTCCTCATCCCTGTTGAGGGAAGAAGTTCCTTAGTTTTATCTGTGTTCCCAGCCTTATATGCAGCTTAAAGGATGCTCATGAAAACAGGCATCATCTCCCCTGAAAAGAATTATTGGAAAGATCCCTCCCTTGGTAGTAATAACCCCGAGCTCCACCTCAGGTGAGAGATCAGCAGAGAAGAAGCTGTGAGACTGCAGCAGCAAATTCCATGGGCTTCCTTCTGACATAGGATCATTGTACAAGTTTACATATGTAAACAATAAACTCACTCAATCCTTCCTAGACACTTGCAGCTTGCTTTTAGAAATAAACGTTTGAGTTGGGCAGTGATGGTACACTCCTTTAATCCCAGCACTTGGTACCAGAGACATGCAGATCTCTGTAATTTCAAGCCTAGCCTTGTCTACAGAATGAATTTCAGGTTAGGCTCAAAGTCAACACACAGCAATACCCTGTCTCACAAAACCAAAATAAACATAAGAAAACAAAAATGAAATGAAACCTTCATTTATTTTTTTGTCTTGATTAAAGTCAGAGAAACTTAATGTGCTTTTAAGCATTCCTCATGACTCAGGAAGGTCATTGGAACCACCAACTAGTGGACTGGGATTGCGGCTCAGTAGGAAAGCCTATGCTTATTATGCAGGAGGCCTCAGTCAGTTCTCACCACCACAAATGCCATGAACAGCAAACTTCATAATACAGTGACACAAAGCTGTCTCCATTACATTAATATTGACTCTCTTCATCTTACCTCTTGAGGGAAGAGGGTTTTGCATTCTCTACTTAGTGTGGTTGCCACTGACAACGTAAGGTATAAAAGACACTGTGATGACAGCCGATGAAAGTAAATACTACGTGGTGCTCCTGCCACTGCCACAAAGTCTCTCCAGACTCAATGGAGAAGCAGACAATTCTTTGAAATACAGAATGATGTCATTTTCTACACTCTGCTTTTTGTTCCAATATGTATTCCTGAATCACGCTTTGCAGCATGGAAATGATATTCACCCTTACCATGTTTTATAAGAAAAACTAAAGAGAAAAGTAGGGATAATGGGTAGGGTGCTTGCCTAGAATGCTCCCAAAGCCTGTGCTCAATGTCTAGCTCTTCAGAAAACCAAACCAAAACAAAAAGGAAGGAAAGAAGAGAAGAAAGGAAGGAAGAAAGGAAGGAAAGAAAGAAAAGAAAAAGAAAAGGAAAACATGTCAGGATTGATATGTCTTCATAAACTCAATACATTCATTACGGAACAAAGCTTTCACCCTAAAATGGGAGATTTCTAAAGAAAACAATTATACAGTAGGACAAAACTGTCCAAATTGATAAATTGCTCAGACATTAAAGAGGTCAGAAGATTTTAATTATATCATAAGGTAAGAAATTATTTAATGAAAGTTATTGATTACTGAGGTTGGTTTGTGACATAATTACATTCTAGTGACACCTACCTGTGTACTGTTATGCAGCACAAAATACAAGACTTTTGTCATAAAACTCAGGAGAATATGTATTTCTAATAATCCTATTTGCTGCAATGTGACTATGGAGGACACATGTGTGTAAAGTTGATTTCTCCTTTATTCAAAGGCAGTACAGATATCAGCATTAATATAAAATAAGCAATGTTTTTGACAATATATTTTCACAGTTAAAAGTTCTTTGAAATAATTTCTTAATTAATTCTGACTTTTCAGAATATTTGAAAACCACAGAACTGCATTTATACTGGATTTCCTTAACTCCTTTTTGGGGATCTAAAATCTTCACTCTTCCTTATTTTCTTTAGGGAAGGTAGGAGCAGTTGGAGTCATTCTTACCTTTGTTGGAGTTGGCACACGTTTTCATTGCTTGTTCTGATTCTACTGCAGCTGCTCCTCCACTGTGACATACGTTTAAAAGTGAACATCATTTAACTATTCATATAAAAATACTTAGCATGTTTTCTAAATTCTTTATTTTTGAGTCCCTAATATATCTTACATCATATATTTACAAATAATTTCTTGAAGTAGGATTTCATTATGCAGTCCAGCTGACTTTAAAGCCACTATATGCATCATGTTGGTCTTGAAATTAAAGAGATCTGTGTGCCTCCTGTTTTCCAAGTTCTGGGATTAAAGGCATGGGCAACAAGGCCCAGCCTAATAACTCTAAACTAATTCTTCAACAGTTGGTGATGATTAACGACTGCTGTCCTTCCCACCTTCCCTCATAGAGAAGAAACAGAGAAAATTTATCCCTTGATTAAAACACACATACACACTCTGTCTCTCTCTCTCTCTCTCTCTCTCTCTCTCTCTCGCACACACACACACGAATGATATCAGTGCTTTTTCCATAGATTTGCTTTGAATGCTCCAGTAACCTTGTATTTATATGCTCGTGGAGTCAGTGTTCCTGTTCCACTCATCTGCCTGCTTGTCCCTAAGGCCCCACAGTCCTATCTGTCAGAACTCTTTGGAGGTATTTTGTTGATTACTATGCTCTCAGTGGTCAGTATATGAAAAAGTATTTTTTTTTTTTGCTTCTAAGCATCCTTCTGCCTGCATTCTTAGAAGCCATGACAGTTGTGGTACCTTCAAATTGTTTTAACAGTTCTTTCATGTGTGAATGCTGAAACCACCGCCTGGCTGTTTCTTTGTTCATAAGCCTTTTTATGTAATCCTGAGTCTTTGTAACTCATAACCAGCTTCCATACTCAAGGAAAGCAACACTCTTTTGTCAGCTATATTCTTCCCAGGTCACAGCTAAGACTGCTATACTTCAGGGCCTATTGCTAGGATACTCTGGACCAGCAGCTTTATTTTCCTAGTTTCTGCTGTGGCTGTCATCACAGTCTTAGAACTTGTCATGGGGACTTTTCATCTGCGGTGTGAACCTAGTCCAAAATAGCACCGCTGCTGAAGTGATCTCCAGAAAACTAAGAAAACCTTCAACCTTGACCACTATTTCCAATGTCTTTTTAGCAGATAATGATCCCCAGTCTTACTAGATCAACAACCTAAACTTACTTTTTCATCTTCATATTTGATATGCATTCCTGTTCACATCTGTGTATGCATTTGTGTCTGTTGATCCTAGTGCATGTTTTTTAGGTCAGAGGACATCCTTGACTGGCAGTCCTTGCCTCCTAACTTAGTTTTGAGGCAGAGTTTCTTGTTGTTAACAGCTGTAAAAAGCAAGACTATCTAAAGTATAACTTTCCAGACAGTCTCCTCTCTCCATCTCCCATGTCCCTCAAGGTTCCCTGAGATTAATATGCACACAGCACATGAGGCCCTTTAGGTGTTCTGAGGAGTTGAACCCTGAAATCTTGGGTTTGTGTGATAAGTACTTTATTCCTGAGACATGTTCCTAGTCATGAATTCCTAAAACTGTGCTATTCCCTGTCAAAGTCACAGGCACACTTTATTTGCTTCAAAAGTACCAGCATTACAAATTTCTGTCTATTTTGTATTAAAGGAAGAATAAATGACCTCAAATGGTTCTTCTTAGAGGGAAACACAGGCCCTCTAACTGGATTAGAGGATTAATTGAAAGTGCTCTGCACTCACAAGCCTTAGTTCCATAATTAATAGCAATACACTTATAGCCACCTCTTAATTTAGACACAAAGTCTTCTTTTAAAAATTGAGTGTTTTACAGCCAGATAGATGGCTCAGTGGGTATACATAATTGTCACAGTAGCCAAGAATTTGAATACCTGGAATTCAACAAAAAGTCAGACACTGTGCAATGTATCTATAATCCCAGCACTTTTATAGTACAAAGGAAGTGGAGGTAGTAAGACACCAAAGAGGCTTCCCAGCCTGCTTACCTGGAGTAAGTGGCCAAGTGCCAAATAAAAATTTAAAAAATGCCTCAAAAAAGATGGAAGACAAAGCCATCACACAGTGTTATACTGTGTCTTGGTTGGGAATATCAGTGCATGCATGTCCTCTGACACAAAAACAAGTACATGAAGATGAGGGATGCTAAACCATGTTTAGAATATATGGTATGTCCAAAGTGTATTTTCAATAAAAACATACACAACACACAGGCTTTACTTTTTAATTCATCTGAGTTTAAACTTGCATGTATGAACAAAAAAGGTAATCATTTAATTTTTAATGCTGAAATCATCTTAAATACCAAGTGTCCATTTTAGAGCTGCTATTTCTGTGATAAAACACCATGACCAAAATGAACTTGGGGACCAAAGGATTCATTTGGTTTATATGTCTGCACCATAGTCCATCATTAAAGGAAGATAGGGCAGGAACTCAAACAGGGAAGGAAGCTGGAGGCAGGAGCTTACAGAGGCCATGGAAGAGAGCTGCTTACTGGCTTGCTCATTCTGCTTTCTTATAGAACTCTGGGCCATGAGCCCTGGAACAGCACCTCCCATGATGTGTTGGGCCCTTATCCATCAATCACTAATTAAGAAAATGCCTTACAACCAGATCTTATGGAGGCATTTTCTCAATGGAGTCTTAGTTCTTTGTACTCATTTTGGACAAGTGTCCCTATCCAGATTAGCTGTTTCAGGAGTTTGGGTGTATGTACAGATTCACATCTGACTAACACAGTGTCAAGATAGTTCAGACAGGACAGGGGAAAATAATAGCATCTGGTAATATCATCTAATTGATGGATACCCTAAACTATTTGCTTATTCAAATTTACTTAAAGCAAAGTGAATGATCAAAGAGACAACATGATTTCAAAAAAAATAATTAAGTTGAACATATATAAGAAGAAAATATATAAGGAACAGGCTAAAAATAATAAAATTATACATTTCAGTGTTGATAATAAAGTTGACACTTTTCAAAGTAAACAACATTAATGTGAAGTTGCCTTAACAAGTAGAAAATTGCCAATCAAATCAGATTAGAAATGATAACTTGTTTTTAAATGGGAAGCTGAGCCCTGGTACACACTGTTCCTTTGTTTATGTTGGAACAGTCTCTTTTCCAGCTCACACTCCCTGTGAGCTAGTCTTTCTCAATATATGCTTATGAGTTGAAGCCATTTCCCTCTACCATTTTAGTGTTCATTACTTAAGCAATGACACCCTCAAGAACAGCACTAAGATTGTAAAAAAGAAACGGTACCTATTTGGTGTAAGCTCCGAAGGTGCATCTGCACCGTTTTCAATTAAAAACTCCGCCATTTTAAGTTGATTTTCAAACAAAGCGAGTTTATAGGGTGTCAACCCGTATTGTAAAGGAAAATAAATTGACATGCTTCTCAAATGAAAAATGTATCACAGATTTTGAAAACAAAATGAATCACAAAAGGATAGATTTTCCTTCAGCCCTTGCTGCAGATTCACACACACAGGGCTTCCTTTTCCTTTGAAACATCTTTCCCTGTCCAACAATGCCCGTGAACACCAGTATTTCCAGAATTTCCCACAACCGCTTGCTGGTTCCCAGTTTCTTAGCTCCATGGAGATGTGCCTCCATTGCCCCAATCCTAAAACATGGAGATAGATTTGGTATGCCCCTGTTGAATGAGTGAACCCAAGTGGCATCTCTGGAGCAGTTTCTCAACCTGTTTTTCAAAACTATTTTCCCTAACCTAAAAATTTTCTCCCAAACCAAACATCGTTTCCTGTTGTAGTGGTCCAAAAGATGCTGGAGGAAGACCTCAGACTCAAATGGTATGTAAACACAAAGAGTGCTTATTCTTCAGAAATAGCCAGCATGCAACAGTCCATCACCCATATAAAGTGATAATGAGGACCACGGACAAAGACATACAGGCCCTTTTAAAGTGGACGTGGAGAATTCTATCTTTTTAATCTTTTAAATATTTTTTCAATAATTGGGCAGTCAGGGAGCAGTTACATGGGGGGCATGTTGATTGGACAGAATTAGTAACAGTTTCATCCATTGTGGGATTTTTCTGACACATAATAGTCAGTAGCAGCCAGATCCTGCAACTCTGGTCTTCCAGCCTTATAAGGCCAGGTTTGGAACTGTTTAGCCAATTGGCTAAACTTGACTGGGGAACGTCCTGGATTCAGGCTTAGGTCATTAATTACAATGGAGTTGCTCCTTGTCTAAGATAGAGTCCCATTTTGGCCCCTTTGTTATGTACATGTAACATCTGAAAAAGTTAAGTGAAAATGTCTTCTCAGCATGTTTTCTTCAATGATCAAATTTCCACATTTACCTGTGTGCCTGTGACCTTCCCACTCTAGCCTCATCTCTGAGAGACAAGTCACATCAGTAACTTCTTAATTGCAACAGATTTCTGTTTTTTTCTACAGACATTTATCTTAAAATTATTTTTTTCTATTGTTTGTGTGTATGTGAAGTATGTGTGGGCCCAAGTCCTTTACTTGTTGAATTTTAAAGGAAAGCCCAAATCTGAAACAAACTGTGCTGTGCTGAGTTCCTTTAAGTTACCTACAAAACTACGAAAAACAGATTTGGAAAAAAATGCTTTACTCTGAACAGATTCAGTGAGACTGCTTGAGCTTCAGAATGTGGAAAGTGATCTGAGTGTCATTGCTAGAAGTACATTGTGAATGAAGTTGAATGATTCTTACCTCTGTTTTGGCTTTAATATCTACATTATACTCCAGCAGTTTGCTGACAACTGGTATGTTCCCTCTGCAAATGGCGTGGTGGAGGGCAGCATCGCCATTGGCATCTACAATGTGGGGATCAGCCCCGTGCATGAGGAGAATAGAGATGCATTCTACATTATCCCGCTGGGCGGCCTGTGGGTATTGGATAAAGAAAGAGACACTGAAATCAAGAACTTTAATAAGCATTCCAACAATTCCATTGACTAGTTACCCTTGGATCAGACCAATTGTTTAGGTCATGTATATTATCCCTCTCAAGTACCCAGACTTTCCTAAATTCATAACCTCTCCACCAAAGTTTTCCAAGTGGTAGAGTTTCAGAGGTGTGCCACCACACCTAGATATTAAAGCATTTCACTAGCACCGTTTGGCTATTTTTGTAGTGGGGGAGGTTGCTTGTTCATTTGCTTGTTTTGATAACTTGACACAGGTTGAAGACACCTGGAAAAAAAGAATCTCACTTGAAGAACTGGCTCCACCAGACTGGACTCTGAGAAGCGTGTATAGCATTTTCTTGATTGAGGTTGATCTGGGAGGGCACAGCTTCCTAGGGGTGGTGGCATGACTGGGAAGGTTATTCTGAGTAGTATAAGATATCTGAGCAAGCCTTGGAAAAAGCCACGGGAAAGCATCATTCCCCCATGACCTCTGCTTCATTTCCTGCCTCAGGTCCTGATTGAACTCCTGACCTGGTTTCCCTTCATGGCTGACTGTGATGTGGAACTGTAAGCCAATAAACCTTTCCTTTCCTGAGATGGTTTTGGCCAGTGTTTCATCACAGCAACAAAAACCAAACAAGGATAATTTCTAATCCATTTTGTACCAAAAGTGTTTCGCGATAGTTACCTTAATTAGGGGAGTGCAACCTTCATCATCCTTCATATTAATATCGGTACAGTCGTTGGATAATAGCAATGTTACTACATTAGGATGATTATGGGCAGAGGCGTAGTGCAGTGAACTCCTACAAATTGAGAGGACATTTTAGGAAATTACAGATTATTATGTAAAGGCACACTCAAGTAGACACCAATGTACATTTCCTTCTGATGTAAAAGAAGAAACTAAAATTTTCTTATTTACTTATTTCTCTACTCAGGTGTTCATTTTCTGTGCCAGGTATATAGTGCATGGCTGTCCCATTCAAGGCGAGTGCTCTATCACAAGCTTCACCCTTCCTCAGAGCAGCCTCTCTGGATAACAGGAGAATGCCCAGTAGATTGAACTCAGATTGGATTTGAATCCTACTCTAATCACCGAGTGTTACTAGTTACAACATAGACCTCCTATGAGCTCCACAAATCAATCTCTCCATCTGTAGAATGGGAATTCAACACTGCAGCTCTCTTACACAGTGCTGCTGTGACGCTTCAACTCACATCTTCAAGAGCATGTACAAATGCTTCCAGCACCTGACAGCTCAGTGTTGCTGGATACAATTACAATTTGTTCCTAATGGTAACAAACACAATATTTCAATGAAGAGAAATAGCAGAATTATGCCTACTGCAGATGTGAAAGTTTTTACTCAAGTATCTTTACAATATTTTAAAACTATATTCCCGAAGCTGGCCTTGAATTTGGTAATCCTCCCAGTAGGTAGGAATGCAGGCAGTTCCACTGCACCCACCTTACTCTTTATTTCACACTTTAGCATTGCTGATGTCTGCCACTTATAATTCATGATATTTTATGACAATAATTGGCAATGTTTTTTACTTTGCTACCATACAAAATAAAGGTCACCATGCAGTCCATTGTGTCTGACATCCAATGAAATATGACACAATCCACAGGCCCATGACACTTCTAAAGGTCACATGTATCTATGTAAATTTCTGCTCTTAAGACTATGAAATGTAAACTATTTAGAATAGCAATAACAACAAACAAAAATCTAAAATTTCAGTCATCAATACTTAAACTTTTTTTCATTTCTCTTTGCCCAGAATTAATGTTTCTATATTTGCTGCCAACAGGGACACAGCATAGTCCTCAGTCAATAGACAGAATGTCCATGTTAATATAGACACCAGGTGGTAGCAAATGACTTTGCCTTATACCTCCATGAATTAGCACCAAAACTGAGCAAATCTATCCAGAAGGAGATAACCCATGGTATCATAGCTCCCTTGCTTTGATTTTCAAAAAGTTTAAAGACAAAAATTACTAGGGATTCAATTGAGCATCATTCATTGTTTTCAATATTTAAATTTATAGAACATCAGGAAAGCTGACTGAACAGAGAAATGTAATATCTTATGAATGAGAGGGTTTTGAGATCTAGTAGATTTGTATGCTGTACAGTAGATATCTAAGTTATGTGCAGGGAATAAGTGGATTGGCAGAATGGATAAATACAGCTGGAAAATTCAGTGTTTCTAAAGAATACACATATTAAGCAAAAATACTTTGAAACAATAATTCACTGTTCTATTATTTGTATGAAGCTCTAATTTGGAAGACTGAATAACTATAGACTAAATAACCTCACAACTACAGACATGATCAAGAAGCATGTGAGCTATGGAGAATCTACTGTTGAGGGTCATTGTTTCCTGCCTATAATCTAGTGAGAAAGAGGAAACAAGGACTAGGAAAGAGGGCTGCAGTGATTGTTACAACTCAGTTGGAAAATCACTCACCCTGCAAGCCTGAGACCCCAACTTCAGAATCCCCAGCACCTTGAGAAACTAGTGCTGGAGATGTGGATACAGGAGGATCCCCAAATCTATTTTGCGAGCAAGTCTAGGTCAATCAGTATACTCCAAGACAATCAGTCAAACACAGCAGGGATTTGGGTGAGAGAATCTGTCTAAAAAGCTGAGGTGGAGAAACCACAGGGTGGTTCATTAGGTGAGGGCACCTACTGGCAGAGCCAATGGCCTATGTTCAATCCCCAGAATCCACAACGTGGCAGAACACAGCTGTCGATAGTTCTCTTCGGACCTTCACACACTTGCTTGGCATGTGTGAGGCACAGGTGCATACACACATATCATTTTTTTTAATGAGATGAAAAGAATTTTTCAAAGAGAATGTCAACCATTAGCCTTCTAGTATTTACCAAAACACACACAACATGTATATAAGGGGCCGGGGGACAGAGTTATAGTTCAAGTTGAAAATTTCCTTATGAAATCCCTCAGCAAGCATAAAACAGACATAAGATTTCTTGTTAATTCTTTGGGTTTTTTTGGCTTTGAGTTGGCTTTTTATGTGAAAATTTATCTTATGATACAATTTTCTGTGTTGCATATAACATAGCATTAAAACATATACATTAAAGGGCTGGAGAGATGGCTTGGCATTTACAAGCTCTAGTTTTTCCTGCAGAGGACCTGGGTTTGATTCCTAGCACCCACACAGCAGATCACAACTGTCCATGACCCCAGTTCCAGGAGATCCAACACCCTCTTCCTATGCTTGTGTGGTACACTGAAAATACATGCAGCCAAAACACTCAAACCTAAAACATTATAAGTGTACACATAAAAAGATGTATGTAGTTTCCTTAGCTAAATTCCTTTAAAGCCCTCAGTAAAGTGCTCTAAAAGAGACAATGTAAAGGGATTTGTAAACTAACTGAAGTTCTTTGTTTTGCTTCTCTTAAAGAAAGCCTCGGAGCTGCCCTTCCAAGGTGTGCAGGTTTCAGGTGCCTAGGAGCTTAAAGCAGGTACAAACCCAGAAGTCTCCATGAAAGAAGAGCCTTAAGCATGACATCTGCCCTCCCACAGGCTGCAGATCTGGAAGGTATGTTTCTCCCTGGTAGACCCTGACTGTCCCCAACAGTTTCTGCACCTCCTGCCCCTCGCCCCTCCTCAGGCCCCATTACCTGCTCCTTCTGTCGCACTCGTTAACACGGTGTTCACTGGCATTGATCAATCTCTCGACTAATTTGACATCACCCACACTGGCCGCCCTTTGTAATCGGCCCACGGGATCGTACCCAATTAGGTACAAAGGAAATCGCTGCTGTCTTCTACCCAAGCACCCACGACCCAGGCATGCGGGCCACAGGTGGGTATACCAGGGAGACCGCTGAGGGGCCCGAATGGTTAGGGCATCATACTCCATATCCTCCTGCATGTTAAGACTCTACAGGCCCTCCTGGCCCTCCCGACAACCCCGCCCCCCCTCCCAGCCCTCCTTGCCCTCCCGGCCCTCCTGGCCCTCCTGGCCCTCCCGGGCCTACTGCCCCTCCCTTCCTTCCCCTTTAACCACCCCCACCCTCCCAAACCCAGTAGTAAACGTTCAAAATCTGGTTAAAATTCCCCACTGAACCAAATAAGCGTCCTGCTTGGGCAGATCCTTGGTTCAGTGTGAGCTGAATTCTGATTCACACTTAGCAACACAGTTCTAGGGGCATAGTGGTGCGCTATGAGCTCACAATGGTACTCAGCAGCTGTGCACCGAGGTTGTGTTCTGTGCGTGCCCATGTCAGACTCCAGCGACAAAAGCATACAGTGCTCAGTACATGTAGACAAATATTGTATGTTTTCTCTTTTAAGGATGTTATGGTTCTGATATGGGAACTTCAATCTGAATACCCACAGAGGTATGGAACCTAGTAAGGGACCAGGAGGAAGGAGAGGAAAGGAAAGAAAAAAGTCTATAGTGTTATTTAGCTATTAAGGAAAACTAGAATTGGATGGTTTAATGAAAGGGGGATGGGACAGAAAGGTAAAGGAAGGAAAATGGAGAGGGACAACCAATACTAAAGGTCCTTTGAAAAACTATATGGACACTGACTATCCTAGAATCTTCCTTTACATATATGAAAGGAACCCACAGGGAGACAAAAAACAACAGGGGAGAGAAGACTTCAACTAGATATCTTGTGCCACCAAATTAAACCTCCAGTGCCAGGAACAGGTTACAGCCTGTTGAGTCATTCACCAAAGGGACCCATGGAAACCACCAAATAGCACAGGCTATTGCCAAGGCTCTTGGTTGCTCACACAAGCTGATGTTAAGGTCTTGTTTCTGGAGGGAACACTTCTATCACTGAATATGGAGACGTTGAGCTGGTGTCTAACTACATTATTCACCTACTAACCACAGTTCACTGTACTGGAAGGTACTCTACATGCCCCTGGAGGAGAAAAGTAGTCCTCAATACCTCTCAGCACAAACCCTTCAACCTACAACCACACCCAAATGGAAGGAAGCTCACAGATATTTATATCTAGGGGATCCAACACCCTCTTGTCTCTTTGCACCAGACATGCACACAGTGAACATACATATATGCAGACAAAACATACATGGACATGAAATGTGATCTGTAGATATTGAGAAGTAATACATTTACGTAGTAAGTTCACTCTTTTAAAGTATATAACCCAGTAGGTATTTTTTACTATGTTCTTAAAATTACGCAACCACTATTCTATTTACTTTTAAAATAATTTTGTCATTTGAGAAAAAACCCTTTATTCATTAGCAATTACTCTTCATTTCTCCAGACCCCCACCACCTATTAGTTACCAATCTAACTTTCTGTTTCAAGTGTCTCATTCTGGGTATTAAAGAGAAATCAAATCATCTAATAAAGAAGTGTCCCACTTTTCAGTCCTTTGGCTACTTTCAACTAAATGTTTGTGATATTTATTCATGTTATAGGATGTATCTTTTCTCTACCCCTTTCCACGACTAGAAACTAGACCACTGTATTAACACACCACCCTTTGTTTTCCTACTCATCAAGCAGTAGGTAATTGGGGTATCTCCCTTTTTTCTTATATAAATGCTCAGGTGCTGGTGGCCGCACCATTTTAATCTACATTCCAGCAGTAATGTAGCAGGTTCCTGTTCTCTGGTATGTTTACACTCTCACATATGTCCCAGCACCTGTGCATGCTAGACAAGTGCTTTCCCTGTGACTTATACCCTAGCATGCAACATGTACTTTTCAATTTTTAGACCATATTTTGCTGTCCAGCTTCAAACTCATATGTGATACACACACACACACACACACACACACACACACACACACACACACTCCTCTACCAAGTGCTGGAATTGTAGAACTGTGCCATCAGGATTGACTTATCTTTTGTATTTTCACCATCTTAATGACAGCTGATGGTGTTGAACATCTTCCAGTGTGCCGGTGGGACATTTGGAAATCTTTCCAGGTCCCACGGCATGTGGGTGAGGTTCAACCCGTGGCTGGTAAGGGACAGACAAATATGCCATGTAGATGAAGATTGAGTGCAAAGTTTTATTAAAAGGGGAGGTGTAGTGAGGAGGAAGGGATGGGAGGAAGGGACAGAGAGAAAGAGAAACAGAGAGAGAGGGAGGAGGGAGAAGGAAAAGAGGCTGAGACCTGCTTGCCTCAGTGGGGGAAAAAGAGAAAAAGAGAGAGGGGGAAGGGAGGGAGAGCACTAGAGAGACTGAGAGTGAACGGAGGGTCTCTTAAAGGGACAGGATACCATTTGCTATACAGCCAGGCAAATGGTGTGAGGTGCTGTGTGAGGGTGTGCCTGAACACTAACAAAATTTCTCTTCAGATCCATTTATTGCCCTCTATGTCACTGGGCTGTCATTCTAGTGTTGAGTTATAAGAAATCTTAAATTCTGAAGAAAATTCCCTATAGGCCTATATATGGTTATATACAACACATGAGAATAAATCAAAGAGCAGGGGATATATAATGATTTCTTCTGGACCCATATATGAGGCAAGCTCACACTACCCCCAAGCTCATGCACAGCCCTATGTTTTCCTTACTAGCTAGCATTTTACAAGCATTTGCTTATTTAGGGAGGGAGAGAAATATAAGAAACACTTCTGTTTTTAATTTTTAATGGAAAGAAAACACGGGAAAAGGGCCATTGAAATGGCTCAGCACCTAAGACCATATTCCGTACAAGCCTGATAACCTGAATTCCATTCCTGGAATCCATGATAGGAGAATTAAACCAACTCCCAGATGGTGTCCTCTGACCTCCACATATCTACCTTGTCTCTCTCTCTCTCACACATACAGAGAGAGAGAGAGAGAGAGAGAGAGAGAGAGACAGAGAGAGAGAGAGAGAGAGAGAGAGAGAGAGAGAGAGAAAGGAGGGCACCAAGGAGGATCACTGCTTATTGGCCTGTTCCCTATGGCTTTCTCAGCCTGCTTTCTTATGGGGATGAGGACCATCTGTACAGATTGCTGCTACCCATAGTAAGCTGGACCTTCCTACATCAATCATTAATCAAGAAAATGTCTCCAATGACTTGCCTACAGGAAAATGTGACAGAGAATTTCCCTCCTTCTTCCCACATTATGTCTAGGTTTGTGTCAAACTGGCAAAAATTAACCACCACAGCAGCACCCAAGGCTCTGGTGTTACTGTAGAAGAGGGAACAAGAAAGGGTGTAAAAGTCAGAGTTGGGGGAGAATTGCTGGAAACTGGGTCTTCAGGAGAGGACACAATGACTGCACTCAGGAATTCCATGCAGCCATGTTTTCCTGAAGCAGAGCTATATAATACTGGGGCTTCACCACTCCATCATTCATTGAGAAAGGCTCATAAGGTCCCATCCCTCTATGAGGAACTATGAGAAGTTAATGGAGGGTAGGTGAGGGATCAGCATAAAATTTTTACAGAGGAGAAAAATGCAGGTAAACCATTAATCAACTGTTTTTTCTCTCTACCAAAATATTTAGTGATATGAATAATATTTAAGGGGGTAGCACTTGGGCAGAAGGACTGGTTGCTACCTTAAAAATCCACCAAAAAGCTACTGATGTCATAAAGTGTTTTAAATGAATGATTTCTAATTAATGTATTTTAATAGAAAACTCTTAAATATGCAAACACTTTAGTAAATTTTTGTCAGCATTCAGAAAATGCTTTTCTTTAAAATTTCTATAGGTTTTTCATTCTTCCTGACATAGATTGTGAATGTCAGCATACTGATCCTGAAGGAGGAGCTTACAAGGAAAAAGGATGTACTTGAGCAGAACCTAGACAGAAAAGCAAGAGTAATATGCTCAATCTCAAAGGTTTTAGAAATAGGTTAGCGCTGTTGGCCCTGGATCATTGGGCTACCTGCGGCCCTGTTTAGTTGCTGAGGAATCCCATCAGGACGGGTGAGTGTGTGCTATCCAGGGGTGGACTGTCCCGGAAGAGAGCACAAACTCCCTCCCCCAGCTCCTTCTGCAGGGCTGTCTTTCTTTCGCACGACCAAGCCTCCCCAGCACCCCTCCCCAACCCTGCCCTGCTGTATGCTAGGACCAGTGCTCAAGTACAGTTCAAGCTCCTAAACTAAGGCGACCCACCCAGAGCGGTGAGTGCCTGCCTACCGGGCAGGCCTCAGGGTCCCCTGTAAGGGAGCCGGGCACCTTAAGCTCTGGCGCCAGGCTTCCTGTGCGCTCCTGGATACCACCCACCCCCCTTGCTCCATTCATCCTGTTGGCCCTGGATCATTGGGCTACCGGCGGCCCTGTTTAGTTGCTGAGGAATCCCATTGGGACAGGAACGGTTCCTGCTTCTACACTGAAGAGATATACCCAGAGAGTCAATCACAGCAAAGACTGGACCAAGAGACCAGGCCTCTCCTGGCTCCATTTGAAGGAAGAGATGGGAAGGCGCCAATACAAGAATTCCTCCAACAACCTGAAAGGCAACATGACACCACCAGAAACCAGGGATCCCGTAATAAGAAGAATTGTACACCCTACTCTTGAAGAAATAGAAGAAATCGACTCAAAAGTGAACTATATGAAAATAATAGAGGACCTTAAACAGGAGGTGAAAAACTGCCATAAACAATTAGAGATTACAAACAAAAAGGTAGAGGAAATGAATAAATCGCTCAAAGACACGCAAGAAAAAAAAGAGAAACAAGAAAAAGCAATCAAACAGGTTAGGGAAGCGGTTCAAGACATGAAGAATGAAATGGAAGCAATGAAGAAAGCACAAACCGAGGGAAGAATGGAGATGGAAAATCTGGGTAAATGAACAGGAATGACAGAGACAAGTACTAACAACAGATTACAAGAGATAGAAAAGAGAAAATCAGACACTGAAGATACCATAGAGAAAATAAACACACTGATCAAAGAAAACAGCAAAACCAACAATTCTGA